TATATTTTTTTTTATATCTGATAAAAACAAATTTAGAGAATTAAAACTACATCTGGTCGAACTTTGTTTGAAACATTTTTTAAATACAGGGAGACAACAATAAATCAATTATTTATTACTTCTTTATAAATTGTATCATTCATTTCTTCGTCCATCTTCTGTCACTACGTGAATGCGGATAGATCAGAGAAGCTATCTTTTTACAACTTCACCTAAATTGAATGTCATAGTACTAGTTGTCTTTGTCTCACGTATTGAGTGGAGGGGTAAATTCACACAAAACAACCCCCAGTAATAATGTGTAATAACATCCTATCAAGGGAACAATTACGTTCTTCGTTTTGACAGTTCATTAAAAGTTTTCAACACTGACGTTCTTCGTCCTGACAGTTCATTAAAGGTTTTCAACAATAGCGTTCTTCGTTCTGACAGTTCATTAACGTTTTCAACACTGATGTTCTTCGATCTGACTGTTCACTAAAAGTTTTCAACAACGACGTTCTTCGTCCTGATAGTTAATTAAAAGTTTTCAACACTGACGTTCGTCGTCTTGACAGTTCATTTATAATAATAAAGTATTCAACGCTGACGTTCTTCGTCCTGACAGTTCAGAAAAAAATTTCAACAATGACGTCAAAAATAGATATACTTGCTCAAGAAATAAAGGAATATGCGATTTTATGCAAAAGTTTACTAGTGTTATGCCAAAGAAAAGGATTGTGATTAATTTATATGGCGATTGTTATTTACAATTTTGTTTCTAAAATAAATTGTGGTTTCTCTTTTTTCTAATAAAAATTTGTACAGACATGCCTAATAAATAATTTCCGTTGACACATTTACAGGACACATGCTTGTTAAGAACACCACAGACACGTACCTGTCTTATGTTCGATAAAATTGAAGAAAAGTTTTAAAACATATACCTTTTACAAACAATCAAAATCCCATATAAACACACCCATTTGTACAAACATAAAGTTTCTTTCATATTTTTTTCTTATCATATCATTTGTCAGTTTGATCAAACAAATAATGATATCAAAAAGACAAGTGCAATTTCGTCAATATATATTTTCTACTTCGATTTTTTTTAATAGTGACTGAATGTACAATAACCCCAATAATTCTGAATGCAAAGATTTATTTATTGTTGAAACGACGTTCAAGGCTAGTTGGCTTTGTTATAAACTTGTATACTGGTATTTCAAGTTCTTCCTAATTGCGTGACCACCCTCTTTGGAAGTTTTTATCAAATAAACTTAAAAGAATTATCAGATTACTAATTCTGTTTTTAATCTGTTTAAATTATCTATATTACAACAGTTTTAATTGTTTACGAGTATAAGTATTTGGGCTCCATTTAATGTCCTTTGCTAGATAAAAGAGATATACTTACATACATTTTTGTATTTAAATATTTTTGTCATTTTAAACTTTTTAAAGATATAACAGACGATTTCAATAATTGCTTAAATTGACAATTTACAAGGTAAAGAATGTAACAACTATGTGACCTCATTTAAACCCAAGAAGATTGTTAGATAATTGTTTTAAAAAAAATGGTAAAAGATTTGATCGACGTAATGATTGTTATTTTGGTCCTTATTATCGATTCACAAAATACTGAAGTATTGGTGGTATTCGTCGTGTTTTGTAGAAATAAATCTTTGCAGCCTCAAAAGAAATTAAACCAGAACTTTTTCCTGAAAGAAAAGCAACTTAGAGTTCTTACTGGAATACAGGGCAATACATTTTCGTACCAACAACTATTTCCATTGACAATGGCATTACATTATCATTACGGAAAAGGTTCTATTGCAACCACTTGTTTTAATAAAATAAAAAAAACCCTGATCAGTGAGTGCCGTTACCTGCTTTTTTTATTGTACAACCTGCATATCGAAGACGACTTCAAATTATTCAAATGAGCAAGTCAGTAGATAGTTGAAAGTTGCTGACTCAAATGAAAGACACTTGATAATTGGACTTCTACAAGGCAATACCCTCTAAAACGATGTCTTTTTTAAAGACACAAAGTTTTCATCGCAGTAGTAAAATCTTGTGTTGTCGGATGAAAACCTGTGCTGTAGCTAGTCTGAATGAATTCGACACGTTGTCAGACTCCTTTCGTCTAACGATAAATCCGTGATAAGGATGTAGTAACGTCTAGTCTAATTTGACAGGACAGGCTCTTTCAGCCTAGGGTTAAGCCCGTGTAGTACATGTATCGGGTTCAGCCTAGGGTTAAGCCCGTGTAGTACATGTATCGGGTTCAGCCTAGGGTTAAGCCTGTGTAGTACATGTATCGGGTTCAGCCTAGGATTAAGCCCGTGTAGTACATGTATCGGGTTCAGCCTAGGATTAAGCCCGTGTAGTACATGTATCGGGTTCAGCCTAGGGTTAAGCCCGTGTAGTACATGTATCGGGTATTTTCTTGGTGAAGGATAATATTAATAAGTACTACCGCCTAGTCTATTTGTTAAAAGGCTCCTTCATTAAAGCGTTAAGCACGTACTAAGGATGTTACTGTTGTTTTTGCGATGATGTGTAAAAATGTACTTACGCCTGACCTTATTTGAAATGTCGCGAGTCTCCTTTCGTCTTTTGTAAGCCTGTGCTGTCGATTTGTCGGATGTAATATATTTTAGTACGTTGTAACACCTGGTCTTATTTAGCATGTTGTGAGGCTACTTTCATCTGGTGAAAAGTCGGAGATGAGGATTTGTCTGTTGTTAAAGCAACAAAGTAACCATATATTATATATATTTTCTGTTCATAATAACAAGTGCTTCGATTTATTATGTTGTAAGGTCAAATTTCTGAGTTTACACTCGTTCTTTTTGGTAAGGTTCGTGATGGTCAATCTTTAGCTTTATATGTAGTATCTTGTAGACTTGTCTTTTGGCCTTGGTGTTGTCTGTGTTTATACGACTTATTGTTTATCATTGCCCCCCGTGGTATCGTCTCTCTTTATTCTGACCATACCCAATACTCAATACCTTGTTTTCCAGTGACAATCAAATTACTCGCTTTCATGACCTACCGATTACACTGATCAAAATCATACTAATTTTCATTTGTTCAGAATTTGCATGAGCTATTTGCTTTTTAGGCATGAAACTGACAATCTATACATCATTGCCGACAGTGTATATCGAACCGAGGTAGTGTGTGCTGCTGTGACGTATAACAACAGCAATCAATGAATAGATAGCATAAGGTTTATTTACTCCATTTAATTTTGATATATTTGAGTAATTCTATAGAATCAGTCCGGAATACAAATTATAAATAAATCATTCATTAATATTTTACTATATATTTTGATGATCTCGTTTGACAGTGGTTTTTAGATATCAAGATCAATTGATCTTTTTGCCACACAGGTGCTTTTAATGGACGAAAATATCCAAAATCTATCACGGTACTCGATCAAAATTGACACAATTTAATATACAACCCTTTGTCATGGAAGTTGTACAGTGGCCAAAATCATACAAAAAATACGCCTCTTATCGATATTGTTCTATCAAGCATATACCCATTAATATTAAGTTTGAATGGTATTTTTCTGTTACAAGGTGCACTACCATTATCAATTGTTGAGCTGAAGGCTGCATTGTATTTTTGTTGATTTTACACGATTGAATCTAGAAAAGTTTTGAAGTTCTGGTATTAAAAAATGGAGTAACTCCTACTTCAGCGTGTAACAATCAAATCCGGTAGATTAAAATTTGTAAGAAATATTATGCTTTCTTCAAAGATGGTTTTCATATTTATTGCTATTTGTATGCTGTTTCATATTTCGTTATCAAAGGCTACATGTCCTCACATATGATGAGTTTAATTCAAAAGTAATTTTAGACCTGAAATTTACATGCATCGTATTTTATATAGATTAGACCGTTGGTTTTCCCGTTTGAATGGTTTTACACTAGTAATTGTTGGGGCCCTTTATAGCTTGCTGTTCGGTGTGAGCCAAGGCGCCGTGTTGAAGACCGTACTTTGACATATAATGGTTTCTTTTATAAATTTTTGACTTGGATGGAGAGTTGTCTCATTGGCACTCATACCACATCTTCTTATATCTATTGTTATTCTGTTGATGGAGATATCGAAGGATAGCGTAGAGCCTCGCAAGTTTAACTCCGCCTCAAGTAAGGATCCTCATCAGAGGTTGACTATGTCTTTATTTTTTTTGCTTTAAAAATTGATGATGGTAGAATTTTGCTAGTTTCTGTGTAAATTTAATTGCCAAGTGTGTGGACGTAGAGATATTTATAACATAATTGACATATTACCCTTGTTTGTCTATAATTGAAGACCTTGGCCATCATGGTGTCTTTTCTAGTTTTATTGTTTTGTAGGTTTGCTGTCACTTTGATTTATACCAGACATCTTTTATCATTCCCATTTCTTTCTTTTTTTATATTTATGACTCAATTAAACCAAATTATATAATAAAATGAATACATTTATTGTCAACATTTGTATTTTTCAATTTTATTTTAATTCAAGCATACAAAATGTATGTTGAATACATATATAGAGAATGGGTCGTAAAATGAATTACTTTGATGTCATGTTCCCACTTGTTGTGAAGAAAATTACAACCTTAAGAAATGGAGCGTCAACTTTCCATTAACTTTAATTTAATATCGGCATTTAAAATTTATTAGAATATATTAACGATTTTATACACGAAAACAGTTATTTAAGATAAGATGGAGATGGATGGTGTATAGGTACTGGACACCAAAAAATGCACCATAGTTAATAGATATAAAATGAACCAATACTGATAAATTGAAAGTGTTAAAGAAGTACAAACATAGGAGTGCATAAGGTATATGTACAATCTGCATGTTCAAACAGAAAACAAACATAGCTTACACGGAGATAGATACTGCTGTTTGTTTAAGTATTACATACATTCTAAGGTTTTTATATATTAATGAGTGGATGCACATTCATCAATATTCTATCGTTTTTTTCAGACATGGCTACGAACGGGAAACCTTTAGAGAATGGACATGCATTCTCAGATGACATCAGTTTGTGTGGAGAGTGCAAGAAAACTTTCGTGTCGCCACGTTCTCTTCCATGCTTGCATACGTTTTGCAGTGCATGTTTGGAAGCTTACATTAAGAAGTCAATAGGAAGCAACGGTCAGAGATTTTTCCATTGTCCTACATGTGATATGGAAATTGATGTTCCGAACGACGCGTTACCGGGGCAATATGCTGCTTCTTTTCCAATGGATAGTTTTATGGAAAAATTAGTAGAATTAGTAGCTGCCACGAGTTTCGACAAAATGTGTGATATTTGTGTTCGTAGAGAGGAAAAGGTTGCAGCTCAAAATTGGTGTATGGACTGTTTTGATGCGCTTTGTGATCCTTGTTTTAAAGTTCATGTTCATGGCAAAACAACAGCGAACCATGTAGTTTTCCGTTCAGATGAATTGAGACAGATCCCTCTGGAAAATTTGATGAAAAAGAAAAACAAAGTTCCTTGTGGTAAACATAACGAAACAATAACATTATTCTGTGTAGATTGTAGGGAGCCATTGTGCGTTCAATGCATGGCTGTTTCACACAGAAGATGTGAAAACGTTATAACAGTTGCAGACGCAATGACATCACGGACTGATGTCAAAGATATTATGGATAGGCTAGACTCTCTGAAGGACTCAGTTCATGGCACAAACGGGTTAGGAGAAAATGATAAAATATTAGAATCTAGTATTGACAGTGCTCGAATAAAAATCATTTCAGTGTGTGATTCCCTCATCGAAAAAGTCCGAGAAGAACAAGACAAACTATTAAGACAGTTAGACGACACAGCATATAAAGCACGCAAAATTCTAAAAGGAAGGATAGAACCTAGGAAAAGTGGATCAAAAACAATTCAAGCTGCGCACGAGCGAATGAAGATATTAATGAAATATGGTAGTGATGTAGATATTCTGTTGGCATACAACCAAGTGAAGAAGCAGTTAGATTCTTGCCAGGGATCTGTTGCCGAACTTGACCCTAAAAGTATGGTTGTGAAGGTGAACTTTGACCTTGCCGAGAATGTTGACAGTTTCATGCAGGAATTTAAAGCAGTAGGAAATCTGAGTATAGATGACAGTAGTGACGATATTGGTCTATCATCCTGGGGCGTAACGTGTACCCATACTGATGACATCATTGTCACAGATTGTAAAAACAGGCGGATTCAAAAGTTTAGCAAGGTAAGGGTTCGTATTGAAACATAAAGGTACTGATGAATCAATAGAGATGTGTAGTAAACGTTAATAAGATATCAAACACAATAAAACCTTGCATATGTGTTAACAGATACAATACATGTTGCCTTTGTAGAATAGAGAATGGTAACGGGGAATGCGTCAAAGAGACAACAACCCGGCCAAAAAGCAGAAAACAGCCCAAGGCCACCAAGGGTCATTAACGCAGCAAGAAAATCCCGCAGCCTGAGGGGGCTTCAGCTGACCCCTAAACAATAATGTATACTATAAAAATAAGAAGATGTGGTATGATTGCCAATGAGAAAACTCTCCACAAGAGACCAAATGACACAGAAATTAACAAATGTAGGTCCCCGTACGGCCTTCAACAATGAGTAAAACTCATACCGCATTATCAGCTATAAAAGGCCCCGAAATGACAAATGTAAAACAATTCAAACGAATAAACTAACGGCCTGATTTATGTACAACTAGTTCAGTTTTGTATTTATATATTAGATGATGCGTTTTAAATTTAAGATTACCTTAGCCGTATTTGGCACAACTTTTTGGAATTTTGGGTCCTCAATGCTCTTCAACTTTATACTTGTTTGGTTTTCTAAAATTTTTGATCTGAGTCTTATGTAGACGAAACGCGCATCTGGCGTAACAATTTATAAGCCTGGTACCTTTGCAAACTAATTAAAGCAATTGTAAGGCAATTCAAATTTGTGACTGTCAATGTCGATAAAATAATTAAACAGATAAAAAGCAAACACCCATCAAAAACATATACACACGGGTAAAAAAATATTAAAATATTAGCACAAAAGTAAAACAGAAATATCAGAGAACACGCTAGAATTGCAGTAGAATGTGTCTCCGTGCCTGTAGTGTATGCCCTTATATTTTATAGTTTGGGTTTTTTGCTCTTCATATTCCATCATATTAATGTTCTATTTCTTTCATTTGGTCTCTTATGGATAGTTGCCTCATTTGCAATCATACCACTTCTTCTTATTTTTACATCGCGATGACCTTGAGGTCATTTCGATGTAATGCTATCGCCTAGATTCCATTATGTAAATTAGTTTTGGGTTTGTAACCGATCTATAAACATGATAAATATGCGCACATAAACGAGTGCAAAATAACATTCCTTATCGTTTGATATAAATACATCTCTTCAATGAATACTGATAAAAATATTTTTGTTTACAACATAAATTAATAATATGAAAATGTTTTGTAGTTAGATATATATATATAAGTAAAAAATCATTGATAATATCAATGCACACGTACCGAAAAATTGTGTTAAAGCATGCGGAAGAATATCTCAAATAGATATAAGAAGATGTGGTATGAGTGCCAATGAGACAACTCTCCATCCAAGTCAAAATTTATAAAAGTAAACCATTATAGGTCACAGTACGGTCTTCAACACGGAGCCTTGGCTCACACCGAACAGTAAGCTATAAAGGGCCCCCAAAATTACTAGTGTAAAACCATTCAAACGGGAAAACCAACGGTCTAATCTATATGAAAACGAGAAACGAGAAACACTTATGAACCACATCAACAAACGACAACTACTGAACATCAGATTCCTGACTTAGGACAGGTGCAAACAAATGCAGCGGGTTTAAACGTTTTAATGGTACCAAACCTTCACCCTTTTTCTGAAACAATAGTGTAACATCACAACATAGAAAGACACACTATAAAATATCAACTGAAATAGCTTAACTCAATCAAAGGACATATTAACACCATTGAACATACACTGAACAAATAAATTTGACCTATGATACAATGTAAATACAAAATAAACAAAGAACGTTTTGTGACAATTCCGGCAAGGACCGGTAACTCTGTAATTGTTTTTGCGGGAAAATATGAATGCCTACTCGTATCCAATCTTAGAAAAATCGAATTCTTACAGAAAAGTGTCCACCATGCACTTGCATTGCACTATTATTAGAATAGTAGAATTGAATGATATACAAATGGATGCAAATCATATATATATGTAACTGTTATTTTGATATAATATATAACAACAAATCAGTGTATACTGATTTGTATCACTACAATATAATAGTTATTACGGTGAAGTTGAATTTCCTGTCATTTATTCATCATCCACGCACGAACTTGTCCCAGAAAAAAATATATCTCTGTACATTGACCTCAGTTTCAGGTAAAGAGATATGTTGTTTTTTTCTGAGACAAGTGCTTTTGACCATCCTCAAGAACTTGTGGTCATCCGATGTTCAGTACTTCAGTACTTTGATTATAATCTACATGTAACCTCTTAGATGTCTACACACTTTTCCAACAGACTCTCCAGAAAATCAGTACATCAAAAATAAAATGGAAATTATAAATAATTGTGCATTCACGGTTGTAAACTACTAATATTTTTATATAGTACATATTCTCCATATGTTCAGAACAACAGGCAATATATATAGTACACATATTTTCTCACCTTTTTTGAGAGATGGAAATTGGAAAATACAATTGATATTTTGATTCGAATTGTAATATGCTTTTGTACAACATAATAAATTTTCTGAGTTCGAAGCACTTATTTCGTTTAACCTTCTCAAGGATGGTAAAATCAAAAATGAATAAACAAATGGGGAGTAATGTATTTAAATGTGGCCTAAAAAGAACAGCCCAACCCAAGTGTAAGAGTAAAAGTGGTGTCATGGTTTATAACATTAAGGATTCTTATTTAAAAGGAGTAGCAAAGAAGGATGTTTTAAAAACACTTACAATCAAACCTACTAACAAATAAATGATTTATAGCCCTACACTGTGTTGTTTCTCGCTTAGTTGAAACCTAGTAACAACGTCTCGATCATTAAGCTGACACGTCAGTGCTGTAGTTAAAATATCTTTATTACAGGGTAATTTTTATAATTGTTAAGTTCATGGTGTATATTGTAGTCTTGTCTACCCATGTGTAAATATTTGAGTTGGACTTATCTACAAGAAGTAGCAATTATATCGTTTCACATTCTGAATACATTGAGTCTCATATACATATCAGATATCTCGTTTGCAGCCGAGGACATTTGACAGGCGTTGTTTAAAATTTGTATAGAAGAAATAAGTTATTATTATTCTGATGTTGTCTCCAGTCATATAACAATTCAATTCTATGAATTGCAGGGGTGTATTCAAAGGTATCCTTTGTTGTTCCCCCACTCACAAAAAAAAAACTCCAAGCCTTACAAAAAAAGTAACAGTTAACGTTTCCTTAACCGAATATAACTTAATCTTTGTTTGATTGTAATGCGTATATCAATATATACATGAGTATCTGCTCTTTTGGCACATTGCTCTGACTCCTTGTCCAGGTTTGGCTTTATGTTTGGACCTGTCTGGTTTTCCAGCTCTTCAACGTTTGTATTAGGTTTAGGACTTTCAGAATTAAAATTAAAATTAGACTGAACTTCAAGGATTAACTTTGTGAAGATTAGTGATCATTTGGACTTCTCCCCTTTCGGCAGTGAATTCCAGCTCTCAGGGGCTGGAACATTTGCAACTGGAAAAGAGGGAATATAAGATAGGTTCAAAACTTTACCCTGCAAAAAATCACTTACTTACCAGCAACCGGTTGTACGAACGTGGCATTAGCCTAATGGGTCATTAAGTCTTCTTTAAGCCTTTATGATGCATTAGGCTAATGAAGACTTAATGACTCATTAGACTAATGACACGTTCGTACAACTGGCTGCTGTATATTAAATGTTGCAATGGTTCTCTAACACAAATGGCTGCGTATTCATACATCCCGCACAGCCACACGGACGCCCTTCATTCCTGTCGACCCACTTTGCAAATCCTAACGCATACAAGGTGACTTTACTAGAATCTTCTTGAAAAGTAAAAACCTACTCCAATAGCGACATCCGAAACATTTTATTAGATGAAATGCTAGATCGATTAACGGCATGGAAGTCATAGACAAATATAAAATGAAGCAGTTTGTTTGTTTGTTTGAATCATGGCATCCTTAAGGCTGTCAAACATATAATTTGATTGGTAAGGCCTTCAGATCTTGGATGTTTCTCAATCGGGAAAATGAGGCGAACAATTTTTGATAGTCACCCAGGCTTAGCATGCTAGATGACTTGATTAGTATGATTAAGCTTCGACTTCGAGTAACTTAACATTCCATTATATATTCATTTTTCATTTTAGTTTGGAGATCTAGTGGACTACGTACAACTTGAAGATGAACCACGTGATATTACTACTATTGGACGCAATGATGACGTTGCTATTACATTGGTTGGGAAGTTAGTTATCTTCTTATCAACCCGGAAATCAATGCAGCTTTTGAAACGTGCGAAAACAGAAAGACAGTATGATGGCATTGCATTTTCCTTCAAGGATTCCTTTTTGGTGGTTAGCTCTATCCGGGATTGTTTAGTAGACATCATACAACTTGGCGGGGAAGTCATTCGTTCCATACATTCAGACACTGTTGGATCACCGCTTTTTAGAGAGCCACGCTATGTAGCAGTGTCACCAGATGGAGCTATTGTTGTGTCGGATGTAGAGCAGGGTACAGTCATTTCATTTGACAATTACGGGCGGGTACTTTCCCAGTACAGACCAGAAAGTGGAAATGGATTAAAGAAACCGCAGGGTGTTAGTGTTGACAAAATTGGCAACATATTTGTTGCGGATAATGGCAACAACAGGGTCCAACTGTGCACAAATGATGGGGTCTTCCAAAGGAATGTTCTGGGACACGAGAGCGGATTGGACAAACCGGTTGCCATAGAAGTCAGCAGTAGCAATAGGATGATCATTGTTCAGAATGATGGCATGGTGAAAGTGTTCAGTTACTCCTGAAAAATGAAACTAACTGTAATTATCATTTAAAAAAAGCCGAGCGAAACTCAACGCATACACAAATGAGTAAAAATACATAACAGAGCAAACCGTAGCCGTATATAATAGAATAAAGTTGTAAAAGCTGTTAAATAACAGATTGTAAGAAAATACAGCTTCTCATAATCAGAATTTATATACAATCAATGCTCTGAAAAGTCATTCAAAATTGAAAAATTAAGAACTACTTATAATTCATTTTAGTGTGTTAAAAATATATATACCTCAAAATACCTTTTTGTATATGATAAAAGCACAACAGAAGACGCTTTCATGCATTGCCAAAATGTAATTTTATAACTTATGTGACCGATTGTAGATAGTTTTAACTCTCTAAATACTTATTGTAGACTGAGTATTCTTTTATGAATATGAAAAAATTATAATTCAGAATGGTTTAGATTTTTGTCCCTTTTACATGTATAATTTGAGAATGTACGTTTCAGCAGAATATATAACAATTAAAATAAAATTCCTATAAAACTAATTCACTCAGGATTTTAATCTTATCCAAGTACTTTTGAAATTGTAAAGTCAATATTTATTTAACGATCACTTTTGACTGATTTATAAATTTAATTGAGTAATTAAGTTTTAATTTATTGCTCTTCCGTCAATCAATCTTCTAATCTAAATTTCAACATATTCATAAATGTGATTAAATTGTTGAGGAAATGTGAAGTGCACCTGCCATTACTTTTTGTTCTTATGCAATGTATACACTTTTGATAATAACGCTTTTTTGAAATATTTGGATATATTACTTTGTCCCGAAATTGTCGAATTTGATTTGATCTTTTAATAAGTAACAATAGAATATTATAAGACTGGCAACGACAAAACTGTCTTACTACCTGACCATTTTATGTACCGGTATTACATTTTTCACCCACAACCTTTACACTAGCTGAATATAATTGTAGACCTGATTGATTAAGAAATTGGGGTTTAACAGCACTTTCAGCACTGCTGACTATTTCAGTATTAAAGCCTGAAATATTATGTTGACGTTCCGTATAACTAAAATACTTTAAAATATATCGTGCAAAATCATCAAGATTCACAGTGATGTGAATATAGCTATATGCATTCGTAATGCCATATTTACAGTTACATTATGCAAGCATCAGAGTAAGTTTACTGTAAGGCCAATAAAAATTGTATCCTAATATTTCTGACAAATTGTAATTCAGTGGATTTCAATTTTAATGGACATAATAGATTGTACAATAATTTCAAACTTAACGGGCGTTATGCTTTTATGCTTATGTTAAACCTTTTCACAAAGTAGTGCTTGATGCACGTAAATACGGGTAAATATTGATAACGTTAGTCGTTACGCACCTCAACGATACCGAAGTAACACCAGAGCGCATTTGTGAAAAAATAAATGTGCAGTATACAGTATGACGGCGGCTTAGATTTATAAGTTGTAAAAATGCAATTATTGTCAAATCATAAGTAAGACAGACAGCTACAAACTGATGGAATATTTTTGCGGATTTTTAATCACACTACATTTCGATATACGAAACAGGAATTATGTACATCAAATTAATCAGCATGGCTATTTACAGATGTATCTTCGTATTATAGTATGATTGTGCTTTAAAACCCATCGACAGAGATAATCTCATTCCGGTATTTTAGGCACACATAATCAAATTCTGTAAGGTGGCACGATAGTATTTCCTGGTCCATAGGGATAATGATAGCTTTTTAGAATTTTCACCACTTTCTAACACTGTCCAAAATTCTACATACAAAGTAAACTGAAGTACTTTCGTTATAATATTCAGAAATGAATTTGAATATCTATCATGACCGTTTACTTTTTTTGCTATCTTTATAAACCTAAGGCCACTAGTGCTTTTAGGTCTTTTATCATGCAGTGAATACAAAATTTAAAAAAATTCTCAAAAATTCATTTTCACCTGCATGTAAAATTATTTCATATTTTTCTACACTTGATTCATCCCTCAGTTTGGGAAAGTATGTTCAGTAGATACTGTATTTTTTGTCCAATCACACTGGTCAGATACATTGACTTATGTAGGGTACACAAAAGAGCAACCTAAATTCCGGAATGTAAATACTACCGTGCCACCGTAACAATGTAACAGTCATTCGAATGCTGATCCTTTGATCGTGGCTCATTGTAAGCTATCAATAGATGATAGCTGCTAGATGCAAAGAAAGGCATGGCACTAAATGACATTTTGACTTAATTTATACACTTAGTACGCAAAAACTTAAGAGTGCTATAATTTAAAAACACAATTGTACATATTTTTTTCATTCACGTATATTATCAAATGTAAAATCTAAATGAATTTATATTTATATTTAATTATTCAATGATCTTGTATTCGGGTGTTATTTAATTTGTTCAATGTGATTTGTTGAAAAATTTTCGTAGCAAAAATACGGGTGGTTGCCAATCTCAATAAATCTCCATGCTTATAATAGCACGGTCACGGAAGGAATATATAAATTTTAAGTCTACTAAGAACTATTTATTGGCTAGAACTAAGAGCAAACAAAACCCCTTTTCATCAGATAAATGAACAATGATGACTGATTTGAAATTCTATCTTATGTTAATATTAAAAATAGTGCAATTATTATATTTCATTTCCCTACTCATTATTTAAATAACAAACCATTAACCAACCATCTTGCCATGTAAAGGCATATTAAATATCATATAAATACTATTTAGTTTAGATTTATATACATGTATTTTTGGTTAGCGTGTGACATAGTTTACATGGTAGAAAATAATGCACATTTGTTGGTTGTTTATTATGTGATACATTCATTCCGTCCAATGATACTTTCATTCCGTCCAATAAACACATAAAACATTTAACTTGCATTACTTTTTATTTTAGCTGATTCTTAAACGCGGTATATTTCAGAACGAGCAAGGACTGCAGGATGTTATAAAACAACACAAAGAGGGCAGATATAATCTTACGTGATACTGCATTATTATAACAACAGAAACCCTAGCTGAAAATCATTTTAATACCGAGGTGATGACTCTTTCATATTGTGGGGGAATGGGGCGTTGCACGAGGATGTTTTTCTCTGATGTTCATTTTCACCTTATGCAAAGCTTGTTGAATATGGCCTCGCTAAAATTTATTTTCAATTCAAGACACATTCATCTCTTGCAATGTCCTGCCTTTTGTAGAACAGAATATTCATTTTAATCCTGTATTGGGCAAAGATATTTTTCATTTCTTACCAGGCCAGCATATTGATTTCAAAAATACTCCTGCACCCCTCCCATAATAAACAAGAATGTGTCCATAGTACACGGATGCCCCACTCGCACTATCATTTTCTATGTTCATTGGACCATGAAATTGGGGTCAAAACTCTAATTTGGCATTAAAATTAGAAAGATCATATCATAGGGAACATGTGTACTAAGTTTCAAGTTGATTGGACTTCAACTTCATCAAAAACTACCTTGACCAAACATTTAACCTGAAGCGAGACAGACGGACGGACGGACGGACGGACAAACGAACGAACCGACGCACAGACTATCGTAGGTCGGTCATAAAAATAGTCGTCCCCTTTCCCGTATGTGGGTTATTAAAAGCTCCCTAATTTCTAAGGTCTTTTTCCTGCTGAACATCATTTGTGACATCTTGATGTCCATTTTGGAAAGTGATTGTCTTTTGTTGCTATAAAAATGAAGTTGATCATCATAAGTGGAAAACAACTGTCATATTCCTGACCTGGTACAGGCATTTCCGAAGAAAATTATGGGTAAATCCTTGTTTTATAGCTAGCTAAACCTCCCACTTGTATGCCAGTTGTTTATAGTTCCATTATGTTCCATTATATTGACAAAATTGGGTGAGCAACCCAAACAGACATAATAGTTTGTGTGACAATAATTGGGCACCCAAAACTGTGTAAAAGAGGGACGAAAGATACCAGAGGGACAGTCAAACTCATAGATCGAAAACAAACTGACAACGCCATGACCAAAAGTAAAAAGACAAACAAACAAATAATAGTACAGATGACACAACATAGAAAACTAAAGACTAAGCAACACGAAATTCACAGAAATACAACACAACAGACCAAAAATTTTCAAAAAAACTTACAAATAAATCTAACAAAGACGCCAACAAAAACGTTTTGGTACTAGTAGTTGATAGTTCATACCGTATAAAGTATACACTTTTTTCAATAAAGTACAACTTAAGTAAAATATAAATGCAAGGGTAAACAAAATGTAAACAACACTGTAAAAACCTCTTGTGTCCGAGTCGCACCCATGGCCCAACTGCACCAGGAACGTCCAAAGTCAAAAACCTGATAGCAGGATGCATAAATACAGAGTCACGTCAAAAGACATACGACCTAAAGAAACATAATACCACGAAGACAAAATAAAAGAAAAAAACTGTAAAGTAAATAAAATGATACACAACTTCAGCACCTAGAATCTATAACTCAAGACCATCTTGTATTGTTCGTGAAACAGACACTGAATGTTTATCTACTAGTATTAGTTCTTGGAACTTTGCAATGGACTTTTTGAGAAAAAGACGAACCGTTCTTTTACTAAACCCTGGATCATTGATATTTTTGCTCAGACACCGATGACGTTTTACAGTCTAAGTTGCAGCTTAGTTCTTGAATATAGTATGAGTTGAGAAATGTGTACTCCATACGGGTTTGCTGCCAAGGTTGAAGACAAATCTTAATGTCATAATTGAAATCGTCTCGTTCGTTTGTCATAGATTTAGATACTGACATGACACCTGTTGTCAAATTCCAGGTAAATGATTAGAAGAGAGGCGAAAGATACCAAAGGGAAATTCAAATTCATAAGTCGAAAATAAACTGACAACGCCATGGCTAAAAAAGAAAAAGACCAACAGACACACAGTTGTACACAAAACACAACATAGCAAACTAGACTGAGCAAATAGAAATGAGGCGGAGGAAGCTGTATCTGTGGTTTGTTTAATCTTAAGTTCAGGAGAATATATTAGCTCGGAAAAGTTTGGATTGTTAATGGAAATAACATCATCAATACAACTGTATGTGAAATTAAATGATCAAGCTTTACAAAGTAAAATTTCATAATTTATACACTCAGTGTTTTGAAAGGTATCATTTAAGTCACAATTGTACTGTAGGACAGGTAACAGGTTACCTCAGGGTGATAAGTCAAAGGGATACCGCAACATTGAAACGAATGAACCTTAGTATAAAGTGATTTTGATTTTTGTCAAACAAAATTATGTAAAAGGGGTGATGGTAAGTGATTCATATAGACATGAACTGTCATAGTGAATTAGTTTTGTTTGACATGTTGCATATCGTTAATTTCTGAATAATTTCTAAATTTCTAAACGGAAAATTAAAGTAAGGTTTGTTATAAATCATATCAGTACCGAGGTACTGAGCTGATGATACAACGTGGTCTGATAGTCCACCAACAGCGGAACCGACTCAGTCCTGAAAAAAAGTGAAAAAAAAACACTTTATAAATTTCATGTGTTCGAAGCGCTTTCTTGGATTGACATTCACTAGTCACACTCAAAGCCGAGTATTTGAAAGTCAAGGATGTATAAGAAACCGAAACAGTTGAAGCGCTATATGACAAAAACGGTTCTAAAGTAATAGCCAAATTCCTCTAAGGTCAACGTTACCTGAGGCAGTGTAGCACAAAGACTCAGATCTTACCGTGGACAGAGAATATAACCCAGATAACAAGCATGATAATAAGTTTCCATCTAAATAAAGGCAACAGTAGTATACCGCTGTTCGAAACTCATAAATCGATAGAGATAAAAATAAATCCGGGTTACAAACTAAAACTGAGGGAAACGCATCATATATAAGAGGAGAACAACGACACAACAAAAACACAACATTAAAATGTAACACACACAGAAACGAACTATAATATAACAATAGCGATTTTCCTTACTTGGTACAGAACATTTTAAGAAAAAAATGGTGGGTTGAACCTGGTTTTGTGGCATGCCAAACCTCCCGCTTTTATGGCAACGTCAAACACAACACCAAAACGACAACATCACATGACAGGACCACAATACAAATAAATGGGAGAACATATAGGACAAAGAAACACACGAATAATAGCTAACAAAAGGTACTAGGCTTAAAATTCAATACGCCAGACGTGCGTCTCGTCCACACAAGACCAACCAGTGACGCGCAGATGAAAAAAAAAGTACAAAGCTGAAGAGCACCGAGGACCAACACTTCCAAAACGTTGCGCCTAACACGGCCAGGGTTTTCTGCCTGGGACAAGAACATCTTTATTATTTAGAATAATTTATAATTTTGCAAACAGTAAATTTTATAAAATGACTATATAATAGATATACATGATAAAACCGAAGTGGGGACTAACTACAGAATAAAAACGGATACATTACATAAAACAACTTAATCCAACACATAAAAATACACAGCCGTGTTAGCCAAAGCCTCAACGCACAAAGTGACGTCACATTTGAAATTCTAAAAAAACACACAAAGTGACGTCACATTTGAATTTGTAAAAAAATTTCCCAAAAATAAGATAGGATTTGGATTGATTCAAGATTAGATTTGTAATACTGACATTACATTTATTAATAACAATGAAAATTACAATACTTATTAATATCAAATTGTGGTAGTAATTAGATAATTAATTGTTTTATCTAGCTATGTCGGTGTTTCTTCTGAATCAAACTGTAACCAAATATATCGTATAAATTTCGTTGAACCAAACTAAAATCTAATAAATAGAGGGGGTGATTAATCATCTTTACCAACTTAAGAAAAAGTTAGGAGATATGAAAATTAAAGATACTTATTTGTGATGAATTACGATGGTGATAAAATTCGAAGAAAGGAAACATAAGATAAAAAGAGCCTTAATTTGAACAAACGAAACAAGACGAAATCAATTCTGTCTGAGATAATTTAAAGCTTGATTTTGATGAATAGTAAAAGTAAATGAATTCTAACCAATTAAATATGTAATGATATGTATTTTTTTGCCTTGTAAATAAGTGATACTTCATCTCAACAAGTGTATGTGTCAGTCGATGGTTGGAAAGACGTCATTAAAACATTTCATCGGAAGAGAAAGATAGGAATATAAACTTATAACGTAATGAAAAACCCCTTATAAAACACTGAAATAAAATTAAAAATAAAACTCAAGTAATGTAGACATGGAAAGAACGATAACTTAAACAATGACGTGCAACATGGTTGTGTCTTTAAAGAAATTATATTGACATTTCAAAATGAAATTATCATCGAGAGAAAAATCAGATTAATTTGCACATGGTGCTACACTTTCTATTTACAATGCGTTTGTAAAACTTTGATACCCCAACCTTAGTTTAGGTCTTATAGTATAACTAAAATAGAAATCAAAAACATTGTACAAATCAGGAGCTCTGAAATTTGTCTTAAAATGCAAACTACATATCTCTTCGTTCATTTTCATTTTCATTTTGCACACCTGAAACTCGCATATTTCAGATAGAACCCAATCCACTGCGTAATACTTAGATACTCAGATAATACAAGATAGTTAAAACCTGATGCAAAGGAAGTAGGTGTAACACAATTCTTGAATTTCTTTCATTTAAAGGCGAGGACACTTGGCCGGAACGCATGGTACTTAACATGAACTTTGCACACGAAACAGAACGAATTTTTTACACAATATATAGTTTTGTCATTTTGGGGAAGTTCGTGCTGATGACAGATCGTCGGTGGTATTTCGATAAACCTCAAAGAATCGACATGTTAATAAGGTATAACATATCAAAATGTTGTACAAAACAATCACAATGCATTTATTTTATTTACATGTCTAGTTTACAAGTATTCGCACAATTTCGTTAATATTTGTGTCATCGAATTTGAATGTTTTGGGTTTGAGCGTTTCTGATGAAGTTGAATCAAGAAAACCGACAACACCAAATAATCGAAAAGCCCCGGATGTATAACTACTTGAATACTTGAGGATCAGACTAATTTTGCATGAGAGAGTTGGAATTCTGTTGTCTTAATCACACTATGCCCTCGCCGTAGGCGATGGGGGCATTAAGGTTACCCTTGACTGTCTGTCTTTCCGTCTCTTCGTCGGTCAGTCCGTCCCATTTTTGTTGCAAAGTTTGAGCGGGGGCACTCTTGTCCTCAGACATATTCTTTTCGTATTTTTTCATTCATTAACGGATAATGTAAAAAAGGTCTGTTTAAAGTAATGTCAGTAACAAAGCACTGAATTCATCTTCGCTAGCCAAGGGTTACGATCCGTACCCCTCCTTTTCACTTTTGGCAGTGTAATTTGTGAAAACAGCGCCACGCCATCTGGTGACAGAAGTAACGCTAACTCTGATTTCATTATTCTTGACCAATGAAAGCACTTGTGCTAGTTTTAGTTTAGATGTGTGAAATACGACTGCTTCCAGTGTATTGCAAATTTCTTGAAGCAAAAACCGCATATATACGTTGCATTCGATCGTTTGCACGCCGAACATATCCAAGAATTTCAATAAGTAAATTTAGATCTTTAAAAATGTTACTAAATATTGTCCTATGTTTTTGGGGGTAAATACTCGTGGCACAATCTGCACATTGCAATTGTTTATTTACATTTACTACACTTACACACGTTGCTCTTACAGGCGTCTTTTGATTGGATGCAGCAAGTTACAACAGTAAGGGGCCTGATCGTAACCATTGGCTGGTCGAAAAATATTCAGTAGAATGAAGATTGATTTTTTTAGAATGGTCGAGTAAGAATCAATGCATTTGAGTACAAATACTGCCCATTTCAGACTTTTCCTGGTATGTAGTGCTAGTCTCCCATGATTTCTTCCGCTTATTAGTCAGCGTTTTGTTACTTTGTTACTGATATGTTTTATAACAGACCTTTCTTTTATTCTACATGAATGAATTAAGAAATGATTTAGAAACTAGACTTCAAAGTCTCTCATGCAAAATTGGTCTTTTTGGGCACAAAGCTCCCGGAGTATACAAGTATTCATACATCCTTGGCGGTTAGATTTTTGAGTTTTAGCGTTTTTCTGTATTCACCTTCATCAGAAACGCTCAATACGTGTTTTTTTTTTCAGTCAGATTTTTCTATCTATAATGGTTTTCAATTAATTAAAATTAATATTGCAAATTAACATGTATGTTATATATTTAGTCATGTCGACCATGCTGGTTGATTGAGAGAAAACAGCTAACACAAATTTCATACTAAATACACTTAAGATCCTTCTGTTATGACTAAGTGAAAAATGACCAAGGGCTTTCAGACAAGAGGGTTTTTGAATAAAGTTAAAAACGACGGACCACGAAGCGCACATGGCAAGTAAAACAAGTGAAAAGTTGTATTCGTTGTAAGTCCTTAGTGAGAAAGAAGGACGGGATTGTGTAATTAACAAATTGAACCAAAAAATCCAAGTCACGATATCAATAATAAAACCTTCGATATCATGACTTGGTTTGATGCTCAAAAGGAGACGCTTACTCTGTCGACGCACCCGATCTCGCTCCTTTTGGAGGCCATACGATTCCTTCAGTTTTTTTGCTTTTGTTTGTAACCTTGATTTGTTTCATCTTGCAAGATTTGAGCATCGGTAAACGACTGTCGCCTTAATTCTACTTCCAACAAAACCAACAACTATCTATCTAGGAAATATTGTTGTAAAACGCAAAAATTGGAATATCGTAATAATTCAGTGATATTTACTATATATAAAGGTGATGCTGGAATACATTTTACATAAAAATGGAATGTTAACAATGGGAAAATCGAGTTCATCGCTTTTGGTTAGTTCTCAATCGAGTTTCACTGTCGATTTCTTTGTGAAAGTAAGGGTATGAATTAAAGCAACATTAGTACTGATGTTCAAATCTTGTAAATCGAGTAAGAAGGGACAAACCAAGCTAACAAACAAAAACTACAGATATCGAAAAAAGAGCTAGACCGGGTGCGTTGACAGGATAAAGTTTTCCTACTATGCATGCATCACCCCCCCATGCGAATCCACAATCAGTTAAAATATTACAATCGATAAAATTACAGATTAGACGACCATGCTGTCATCTAAAGATCTAAGACTGCAAAAAATGTCAGTAGTGAGTTGCGACAATGACACATCACATCGGTCAATTAATTTGTGATGGTGGTCGTAAAAATTATGTAATGTCGATTTTAGTCATTCTTCTCAAAAACTCTGTTGAAGCAGTTTTAATGTAAGGAGCACTATGTGTACGAATCAGACCAAACAGTGTCTGACGTAACTAATTTCAAATGCAATGGTATAGATGAGATAAACGTAGTCAACTTTTGTTTACCTGTACAGTTTAAAAACATCGTTTATATAGTGAAACATGAAGGATAAAGGATAATGCTTTTTCTTTAAAATGGCAATTAGATTCTTACCCAAGAAGATTTGTTCGTTTTAGATTTTTAGCTACCCAATAAGATATTTCCTTTTGCCGTTTTAAACCGTATTTAAAACTCGAATACTTCAACTTAATTCAAAACAATAACACTATATAAATCTATTGAAAATCTTTATTTCATATAAAATTTACAAACATATAACAACTAATACAATTGAATTTTTTTGAACGATAAAATGTTTGGGAATCATAACGAAAAGGACGGATTATGAAAATTGAACGACATAAATTGCCATTTCTTTAGCAATTTTATATAACCCTTAAACAAACATGACAAAAATATATAAGTATGACTATGGAATAGATGAAATAAATTATGTACAAAATAGAGTAATATACTTGGTCATAAACAGTAACATTGGAAAACGACAAGTATCCTCGCAACCCATACCGTTTGATATTGTACAAACATCATACGGAACATTCTTATAATCAATTAAATTTCGACAGTTACAAAAGAAAAGTTCATCGTTACCAATGCCACTGGAAGTAACAATGTCAATGTTCAACATATATACTCAGAACCGTCACTATTAGAAAGACTGTTACCTACGTTGCCAAGTTACGTGTAGGACCATGGTCACTACATCTACCTACGTTGCCAAGTTACGTGTAGGACCATGGTCACTACCTCTACCTACGTTGCCAAGTTACGTGTAGGACCATGGTCACTACCTCTACCTACGTTGCCAAGTTACGTGTAGGACCATGGTCACTACCTCTACCTACGTTGCCAAGTTACGTGTAGGTCACTACCTCTATTTGTTTTCCGTCATAATCTTTTCAGGATGATATAAGTTGAAAGAAACAGCAATTTGATTTGTATTCTATTTGAAATCATTCGGTATTGTCCTAAAGTTACATTAATTTTCCCCCCGTTTATCATCGCTACACATCATGAATGAATTGGAGTGTATTCGTACAGTGATACATTACTACTTTATTTAGACATTTGTATAACTGGTAGAAGTAAGAAAATTCAAGCATTATAACCTGGTGGCAGACAAAGTATCCCGTTTGTGTTTTGTTTTACTTTCAGTATGTAAGTTATATACGTTGTTATATTATTTCGTTTTTGATTCATTCAAATGAGTTAACGTAAAATAAATCACAGTCAAGCATTCCGACAAAGAATTTGTTTATGGTACATACATTCGCATATAATTATGTGTTAAAAAAAATTTAAAGTGAAGAACTCCTTGAAAATGTTACATAAAATTTCGTCCTATATACAGGAGCGTTCCTTCATGAATGTAATTATCAACTTAAGAATTATAAACAAATTATTAATCAAAGATATAATTCTTAATTTACCTCCTAAAATCATTAACGGACTTGATAACATGTATCAAATAGAACATATATGATATTTTGGCAGATTGCGTGTTACACTAAACACTTAAATACATAGTCATGTAATAAACTTCACTTTCAGAACCCTGAGAGTTGTAATTAATTACAAATTTATATACATGTTATGTCCTGTTTTAAATAAATATTGAAAAAATCGTCGTTATTTTTCTCCTTCAACTTGTCAATATATTACAACTACGTATCATTATAGGGTTTCGTGATATATTCTAAGAATTGCATATTATCTTCCAAATCATTTTTCATGTGAAATGTCTTGAATGGTCACTTTTTAAAAATTGATAATAATTACTTTCCGCATGAACATACTTATTTAAATGCACTGTAAAATTATCACATTTTATATGCTTATCTTTAAAATTAAAAGATCGTGATACCAAAGTTTTATTTTCAATTCTGCATAACAATAATCCATCGAAATTGTTAAAAAAAAATAGAACTGTGCACCTTTATAATAAATTTAATCTTGGAACATAATATTCTATACGTTAATATATTGTAATAAACTCCAAAAAAGAGGTTTAAAGAAGCGACATAAGTGATGCTTTAGTTAAGTATCATGCTAATAAGACACAAGATTAATTTGCAATGCACGTTCAAAATTTAAGTGATTTTTAGGTTAGAAGTATTTCTGGTCAAAGGGAGATAATTCATGTAAACATTTCCCATCGAAAGTTTCAGTAAATTCCAAATACCTAATAAATTCATCTGATAACTCCGATACATACGTTTAGTATAACATAGATATACCATATGTTGCTTTCTTCAAACGACTCTGTTATGTGGTAAAGTGATATTACAATATTGGTTCCATTTATCATAATTGTAAGATTAAAAAGGAACTTTATTACAAAAAAGTTTTCACAAAATCAGAAATCGTGCATAACCTATGACACATTTATCACCAGTCTTTGATGAGCTTCAACCATAATGTCAATTGAATTGTACCTTCAACGAATGTCTATTGTGTATTGAATGTTCATTTCTTTTCCTTTTCATCTTGAGCAACCTGAAATTTTATTTTTGATTGTTTTGTAAATTATACTAAATTATACAAAAGTAACACTTTATTAACTCGGAGTTGTTAAAAAAATAATTATATCATTTTGATTACAGCAATCCCAATCATGACAGTTTCAATGGTATAAATAAAAGGAAAATTGGGGTAAATGTCAAAGAGACAGCAATACATCGACACAAATAACTATCACTCTTTGTTCCAACTGTCTTTGTCACAAACCCATCCTTTTTTCTACATTGTGACATCATCAAATGAGAATTATAACAAACTATGTACTTATCAACAGCAACACGTCGGGTGTCACATGTGAGCAGAATCTTCCGGAACACCTGAGACCACCCCGGCTATTGGTGGGGTTTGTGTTGCTCAGTCTTAAGTTTTCTAAATAGTGTTTTGTTGACTTCTGTTTGTCTTTCGATGATTTTGTGGTTTTTGTCATGGTAACGGGCTTTTTCTCGATTACGATATTTTTTTTATTGTACCTTCGATATCTTCTAGTGTTTTTGTCGTTTAGTTTTAACAAAACCTTTTTGCATAAAAATCAGAAGAATTTATAATCTGCCATGATTGGAAATCTGCATTCAAATTAATGTTTATTCTTTTTTTTCCTAAATAATAAAGTCAAAAAAACAACACGTGCAAAATGAAAAGTGTAAGTAAATAAAAAAAATAAACATTTTACATTACTCTTCATTAAAAACATTATAGTTTTTACAAAATAAAAATTCATATCACCATAAATTGCAACATTCAACAGCCTTTCACTTGATAGCTTTTATATATAAGTGTAAAATTCAATAATTTATAATTTGGAAATTTTTCGTATACCACTATTACTATGATTCTAATACATTACAAAGTGAAAATGTGAACGTGAAAGTACATGTACCAAAATTGTATAGATCAATACATATCTTTTGTTTTATTCTAATGCTTAAACATTATGTTCGAACGGACGATCAAACAATGCAATTTTGTTTTATAACACATTGGAAAAAAAGATATTATTGATTTAGCTTCCACTACAAAAGTCTAAAAGTCTGAAAAGACCAGTTTTTGTCTTAATTTGCCTGAACTTTTACTCGACATTCTCCAAAAGTATGACTTGTGTCTTAATTTTTCTTGACAAATTCTCATTTATATTAAATTTGTATGAAATTTACTCGACATATTCTCGACATTCTGAATATGGTCTTAAAATTTCTTGACAAATTCTTGATATTTGAATACTGTCTTGAAATTTCTCGACATATTCTCGACATTCTTATTTTTTCTCAGTATGGCTTGACATATTCTGAACATTTTGAATTGTGTCTTAAATTTACTTGACAGTTCTGAGTTTTACAAATCATGACCAATATTCATGATATAACTTTAATCTTTATTTCTCTTTATATGATATACTGTTGTTTCAAGTTACACTTCTTTACAACAAAAATAAAAGTTGGGCATGTAAAATAATTGAAAATTTGGGTATATACATATTTTTACAAATGCAAATATGGCTATGAAATCTAAAGTATAAAATAATTCAAATGTGGGTGTGTTGATATAAAATAATTTCAATGTGGGTTTTTAAATAATTACAAATTTTGATTCCTAAATCTTATAAATTAAATGATTCAAACCAATCATACTGTAGACATATTTCATTCTACATTCATAATATTCAATGTTGATATAGTAAATAATTATTATACCAAAATGTGGTTTTTATATAAATAGCAAATTATGATGATATACAAATCATTCATTTAACAGAAGAAAAAATTGTGTAATGTCATCTGTTGGAATATATTAAGTATTACACATGGACAGGATGTTCCCCATAAAATTAAGGTATTCCACACCCCAGAGTACACACAACTGTCAAATAGAAGTTATTGCTTTACCTGTAATCAGCCATACAACTTATCAGTTGACCGACCATGCCACTACAATTTAAAAAGTTTGTTGATAGATGAAAATGAAAATCATCATTTTGATGAAAAAAAATTGAATTGAAATGGATTTTCTTCATCAAAATTATGAAGGTAATTATTTTAACATAAAAACAAATTGAATAATTCCCAAAGATTAAAAGAAAATTATTATCTACTCCAGGAATAATAAAAAAAAAATGTATTTATAATGGGTCACATCAATGATTTCTATAGAAATCATCGGTCTTATGAAATGGTTCTCAAACAGACATGCATAATATAGATCTAAACATTTTTTTCTTTTCAGGAAGGGGTTATCACAAATATTTATTTTTGATAAAAAGTTATAAAATTCAACACTCAAATTTGAATAAAAAATGTTTTTGGGTTGTTCTAAAAAATGAATAAGGTTTTTGAATCAAGATGGGAACACATTCTTTGACCTAAACGAAAGACCCCCCCCCCCCCTCTTTTTTTAGCCACACAAACCCAAAAGATGAATTGTGGGGTCCAAAAGAGATACAAGACACCTATTTTAGTAAAGCAAATTTGACTGGCAGTTTTGCGAACGGCAAAAATCTAAATGCTGTTTGTCAATACCTTAGATTTATATTCCAAGTGAAAACAATTACTTAAATGTTTAATAAAAATAAATCAAAATTAAACTACATGGGGGATTATTCAGGGTATTCCAACTTAGTTGCACCAAAAGGGTATCTTACTATACCAAATTAATCCTTGATTCTTCAAAGTTTAGTTTAGCCATAATAAAAAGGGGTATATAACAGCAATAGAATGTCATAAACAGTGCAGAATAAGTCTGTTCACATTTCAGGCGAAATTTATACTGTTGAGATAGTGTCAAGACATATTTAAGACTGTCAAGAATGTGTCGAGACATATTCAGACATTATTTAGAATGTCAAGAATATGTCGAGACAAATTTCAGACATTATTAAGAATGTCAAGAATATGTCAAGACAGATCGAGACAAATTTAAGACAGTCAAGAATTGGTCGAGACTAATCCAGACTCTTATCAGATGATACAGGAAGTGTCGAGAAATTTTAAGACAATGTTCATACTGTCAAGACACTTGTCAAGAAAAATCAAGAACCTTATTAGACAAATTCATACTATGTCAAGAATTTTTAAAAATTATTCAGACAAATTAAGAATGTCGAGTAAAAATTCATGCAAATTCAGACAAAAACTGGTCTTTTCAGACTTTTTGACTTTTGTAGTGTTCGGTCATTCAAATTTCCATAGATATATCGCTTTTAATAAAGACCACCAAACCAGTAACATTTCGCCATTAAGTATCAACCATTTTATAAATGGGGGTTCGTATGTTCTATGTGAACATTTACAATCACTACACTAACATACAAGAATAAAACTAAATAATACATAAAACAGGAAAGTAACACAAGCTTTTCAAAAAATATTGCACCTTAGATAAAAGTAATGCGCATGAAATGATAGTTATGAATTGCAAACAATAAAAGAAAAAAGCACAAACACACTATGTAAAATTGAACATTTTGTCGTAGAATATTTTTACCAAAAGAAAAAAACAAAATAATAATGATAAATCATCCAGTTTTAGAAGATACACTTGATTTTGATTTTGTCAGCTGTTTTACCTGTTCTTTCATGCTTTCATATCGATCACGAGCTGTTCGCAATGGTTCTACCATAGTTTCATCTAAAACTGGAAATAACTGAAAAAAAAATTGTAAATTAATAAGGACGAACTTATGTAGCAAGTTCACACTATACGGAGTGTTTGCTCCAACACTTCTCCATCAGAGCTATTAAGAAGAACAACCGAAATCGACCCTACATACAGTCACATGACGAATTGGCTGACTGATAAAGTGTTGGTGTCTCAACTAAATACCGATATTATTTTCGCGGTCTTAGATCTTTATTTACCAGTATAGTCGTCTGATCTGTAATTTTGGCGATTGTGTCTTATTTTCGGTTGTGACATTTTAAATGAGTGTGAATACGCATGGCAAATAATGCATACATAAAATGAAATGCTTACCCTGTCGAGGCATCCGGTCTCGATCTTTTATAGCTCATGCAGTTCCCATAATTTATGTTTGTTACGTTGATTGTTACCTTGAGATTTGAATACCGGTAAACTTCGGTCGCCTTAATTCATTTATTTAGTCGTTTTTCTGCATTTAAAAGCACATTTTATTATTTACGGTGGTACGGTACCGATGTTAGTAAAAATAGCATCTTAAATTGTAGTCAGAATTCTGTTTTTATTGATGTATATAAGCTTTTTTGTGAAAATTGTCTGCACTAAGTGGTGGATATGACAGTTTTATGCCATTTTGTACGTTCGGTGATGCATAAGTGTTTCTATATTCTTACAAGTAGTGTAAGACTTTCTACCATTAAATTACATTGGAGTTAAGAACATTCAATTTTCTTTATACATCCTGTTTATATACAAGAAAAACATTTTGTTTTATATTTTTTGTTTCACGTGATCAATTAAAATTGCAAAGAAGAAGATGCTCTTCGGTCCTTATATTAACGTAGTTGGCAGACCACATTGAAAGTATTGCTAAACCGTGTGTTGTTTGAGTATAAATAAATGCTAGGTATATGCGAAGTTTAAATTGTAGCGTCTTTCAAATATTATACACATTCGGTGAGATCAAAATAATCTCTTTGTACAAAAATTAATCATTTACAGTTACGGAACTAAAACGTGTAGAACTATTTTTTGGAACTCTAGAACTACAATTATTGTGACATAACTGACCATAAAGGAGGATGCATTATAATAGCCATTCTCTGACAAATGAAATTACAAAAATAATAAAGTTCTCCAAGAACTTCAAATGTTATGAGCTATATATATTGATTGAAAAGAGGTAACTGTAAAGGACGCATTAGAAGTATGACATTCGATTTTATACATTTTCAGTCTTTGAATATGATTGAGTCAGATCAGATGCGTCAACAGTGAAACACTTAAAGCATTTCCTTTATGAATTACCCATCGTACAAATTAATCCAGTCTAATCATGTAGGGAGTTTCGAAGTCAGTTTTCTTTTACACAACTGGTAATACTGTCAGATGATAGAACGGCAGTTTACTTGTGAAATCTATGACAGAGTGAAATATCTTTAGTACATTTTGAAACTAGAGCACTGAAACGGTCAACCAATTCACAATGGCAAATATAGATATTGTGACGTAATAGTTTCAATTGTTTCTTACTGTTATTATATTTTAGTAGAGAGTTTAGCTTTTAGTGAAATTGTCATGATGAGGTGAAATGTTATAGCATATATTATTAACTAAGTTGCTATGAGCATGAGCAGATAGTATGTTACAATTAAAAAGGAAGTTGAAAAAACCTTAATCACTTCGTTTTTCAAAGATCCTAGTTTTTATCATAAAATATTTTTAAAGGATATTGAATGAAATGACATCACCAATATGCCTGAAAGTGAAATTAAAAGGTTTTTGTAAGATTAATTTCTTGTATAGATGATTCTTCTCCAAATCAGTCAAGAAAAAGTCTGAAAGTCTTAAAGTGGTGCACAATCAAGAGCCATTAGAAATTGGAATTTATGGATGACGATTTATTCATCAAAGCTTAGTCCTACAGTTCTTTGACATATGTTCAAGCAATTCATACAATTTTAGGAATCAATTAGAAGCCTCTGTAACTTTAACAAATAAACATTAAAGTGTAAGAATTGAACATTGGTTCATTAAAAGAGGTTAATTAATAAAATTTACAATAATTAATATTTATCACGTTTAAAAAAAATTCTGAAAGAATTACATTTAAAACAAATCTTGTATCCAAATTAATGTAACCTATGGTAATGCCTTCTTAAGTCCGCGTTATAGAATGCCACCAACTCTGTTGTTGCTATTGATTTTACTTAGTGCCTTGATATTTAAAAAAAATGTTAAATAAATAGTTAGTGCACGTATGGAAACTGTTTCTTTTAGTTTTGAATAACAATTTTGAAAGAACAGTTATTAACAAATATATACTGAAATTCATATTAAAACCATTGCCTAGGTTTGTACGGACTACTAATGGGACGTTAAACCAATAATCATTGGTGATTATCACTGTAACAGTCTGAAATTAGCTTTATGTGTAGGACAATTGATACGATTTGATGACTATAACAGTCTTTGTTAACAGGGAATTTAGTGTATATGTTATTTTGATATTACTAGTACCTTTGATAACGTTTCAAACATAGGAATCAATACAAATTTGATAAATCCAATCTGGGCGGTTGGCTTTGTTACTTTGTCTCTATCCATAAATGGTGCTACTGGTAGTCCCTCACTTTTCTCTCTGTCAGACTAAAAATAAATAAGGTAATGTAGCATTTATGTACATACACACACACACACACACACACACACACACACACACACACACAGTTAGTAAATATTGCGGGTTATACTTGATAATTCCACAATGATTGAGATCATTATACCAAAACTTGGCAATATGCATGGAAGAAACGTGAAGTATACGTTTCATAATGTATATGCAAATTGTAATTTGAGACTAAACGCGACCTTTTTAAAAACTTTTGACTATACATATTGAAATTTTAATTTTGTTACGAGTATTCGTAATTTTCACCATATATTGGCGAATGTCTCAAGTTCTGTTAATTGTAACTTTGCCATGTAGTTATATTAATACCAAGCGAACACCTGGTTGGATATCCGACTTAAGGACTGCTTTCTGATCATAAATATCAAAGCTATCCGCTTACGTTTGTCAGTATGAACGAGTGAACAGTTATTTCACTTTGAATAATTAAATATTTGCATGGTATTTTAGCTAGTGAAATGTATCTGAAAATTTTCAGATAATGATAGTTGTTTACCTGATTGAAATATTCTTCTAACAAACAATCTACCCAAGGTTCTGATACCTCCATTGGTCTGACTTCGTTCGAAATATCACAAGCTTTAATCAAAACCATCTTCAGCTGTAATGATTTAGTAATTCAGCAAAATTTAATTTTCTATTTAGTGAATTTCATTTCAAATAATTATATAAGGGCTTTACCTGATTGAAATATTCAAGCTAGAAAGAAGCATAGCTGGTTTATGCATTATTTAAAAAGTTTACAATTGAAATTAACAATTGAACTAGTCAGATTAAGCAATATTATCAAAGATCAAATAGTAATAAGAGTAGAAACAGTCATGCTCACATATAAGGTCATGCGCATACAAAAGGAAATAACAAAATGTTTACTCTTTCATTAAATAAAACATTGCAATTATTTTATATTATATTTCTAAGTAGTCAAGTTTATTTTGTGTATCTTTATTATAATAAAAATATAATAATAAGCAGCTACTCTATATGCAAATTCCCCAAAGAATAAATTTATATACTAAGGTAACCGGTTCATAATTAATCAAGTGATTATATGTAAAGACCTGAATATTCGTTGCAAAAAATGTCATAATATTGACAAACATTATTCATTAAACTTTTGAAACAGATTTCTAAGTGAAGTTGACATTTTTTCAGGAAAATTACCATTTTTGCTTATGGCTTTTTGTTTTATTCCTGTGTTTAAATATAATTGATATTTGACAGCCATTTGAATATGATCCGGTTACCTTAAAACATATGTCATTCTCTTCAGATAAATTCATAAATGATTCTAGGATTTAACGCTAAATTAAAAAAAAACAACTTCAAAAGGTCAATCAAACAATATATATAATAAAAATCATAAAGGTACAAGTTGACATATATTTGAAAATAAATTATAACGAAGGGAATGACATGAAAACATTGTTTCTTTAAAACAAATTGTGTGTAGAAGCAAATAAGAAAACTTAAGTAATAAATAAAAATGAGTGTTCATTAAAGCACTACATGGTGACTATTCAGTTTTTAGAAAGAGTTACCGCCAGACTATGTTCTGTATTGGTGAAATCGAATTTTTCGAGTTTACTTTTAAAGGCTTCTAATATGTCTTTATGTCGTGCCATGTCTGTGGCCAGAATCAGATTAGTTATTTCCTGAAGACAAGATATACATGTAACATACAAAGAGGATTATAATGATAATGACTTATGATGAACAATGAACAGAGGATGAGAGCTTATCAAAAATTTCACAACAGTTTCATCTTTCTAGCTATATTCCCGAGTATTAAAAAAAGAAATGTTTTCATAAGCAACATAAAGAAAATTAGAAACCAAAAGTTTACAAATTAATGAATCAACCTTTTTAGCTTATACAGCATCTTCTGCTAAGATATTATTCTTTAGTTGATATACACTTTTTCATCTGTTTTTATTTTATATCTTCATTGGCAACAGATGAAACTATTGTTTATGATAGCTCTAACACGTGAAAACTATCCACAAGGTACCATATGCACCAATATGCAAAAGAATTACCGAGTCCATATGATCTTTCTTGCTGTAGTCGAATCCAAGTTCTAATTTTTCCTTAAACCCATCCATAATTTCACCGTGCCGCGCCATGTCAGTAGCTAATACCAACATAGTCATTCCCTATATAATAACAGTTATTGTAATTTATGAAATAAATAGTAAGTTTTATCATTTGCAGGCCAGAAAATATTTTTTACGAAAATTATTGGCCATTCTCTACAATCAATATAAATAATACATATTTTTAACATTTTGACAAATAACTTTGCAGTTTTATACAATTTGAAACATCAATATAAAGTTTCAAACAACGTCACTTAATAGACGCTGAATTTCCTGAAAATGTTGCAAATTGATAACAATAGGCTCAATGGAGCATGTATTGCTCACCAGACATTTTTGCATAAGACTGACAAAATGCAACAAGAATATTTGTCTTAAATGGAAATTTGAGCCAGAAAAATCTTGTCTTACTAATAATGTTTACTTGAATTGGTTTTTGTCTGTCGGTAATAGTTTTAAAGTAGAACGGCGCAAACAGCTGTTGTAATCAAATTAACCTATATTTATAGATCTTAATATTTTTTTTTAAATCAATATTGATGCTTGTTTTGGCAATTCAAGTTTCTCTCTCTATCTGTTTTTAATATTATAACCAAATTGCACATATGGGTGTTCTCACTATCTTCTTGTCTCTCCTTTAACTTACCCTTCGATCTGACCTCAGAACTTATGCAATATTGACTGATGTATAGATCTAATGTTACTGATCATTTTCAACGTTTACAGCTTCCTTCTTTCTGCTTTAGTTTTTCACAAATACGCCAAAAATTGTTAACATCGTCACTGAATGGCAATAAATCTTATACAGGATGGACTGTCAATTTCGGCCATTTTCACTTATTTGTCGTTTTTTTTAATTTTTTTTTTATCTATTATACTTTACAAAATGATAGCCTTAACGTTAAAAATGTAAACATTATCATTTAAAGGCAATAACTCCTATCAGTAGACTAATGATTTCGATTGTTTGATTTAAATGTAGATTTTATTTATGCAGATCATTTTTACTGTAACAGTTTCTCTCATTTTTCTATTATTTCTTGACAACGCAAAACATTGGTTAACATCATTGTTTAAGAGCAATTATTTCTATGAGGATTCAACGGACGATTTCGACCGTTTTCTCTTGTATGTAGATCTTTTCTTCCTGATAAATATTGCAATTTTTTAGTTTTTCTCTATCTATGAAAGTTTTCAAGATTATATCCCATGCATTAACATGTATCTGTACACCCTCGCACTTGCGTCTCTGGTGGATATTTGTCTCAATAGTAATCATACCACATTTCCTTATTCCAATATACAAGTTAGAGGTTTAACTAGCTATAAAACCAGGTGTAATCCACCATTTTCTACATAAGGAAATGACTGTATCAAGTCAGGAATATGAATATGAATAGTTGTTTTCCATTCGTTTGATGTGTTTGAGCTTTTGATTTTTCCATTTGATAAAGGACTTTCCGATTTGAAATTTCCTTAGTTCGGTATTTTTGTTATTTTACTTTTTCATTATCATTCCTGGGATTAAATATTTCTTTGATTTCACCGGTGTAGATAAACGACTATGAATGTTCAGATGAAGTACATATTTTCTATAGGCTTATTTGCAGACATAAACCTGATTTGTAAATCTACTTTTGCGGACCAACATGTTAACATTTTTACTTTATTTACCTTAGTTTCCACATAAAATGCAAACAGTCAGTGTAACTAACCATCGAAGGACACTTACTCCTATTTAGAGTCGATTTAAATTTTTGGCCATGTTGACTTATTTGTAGATCTTATTTATGACCATTTTTACTTTTAACAGTTTCTCTATCTAAAATAGTTTTGTACAAAAAAAAATATGTTAAAATCGTTATTCTCTATCAAGAGTCGACTGACCATGTCGGCTATGTTAAATGATTTGTAGATCTTTTCTTGTTTAATTCAAAGTTTCTCTCTATTTATTCAACTTTTTAAATAAAAGCCCCCCCCTCAAAAAAAAGAGGAAAAATTTGAAGAAAACAAAAATTCGTCATTCAAGGGCAATGACTTTTATAATCCTGGTATCTTTGATGATTTGTTTTTACAACCACTTGGTCGATGCCACTACTGAGGGAGGTTTTCTACCCGAGGGAAACACAAGCCCAGAAGTATGCACTTCGATGTTGACATGAATTATCATTGATATTATCATATTTATAAATTAACAGTTTACAATTGTTAGAAATATTTAGGATTTTCTACCGTAGGAATAGACACCAGTTTTATTTAGTAAAACCTTTCGGGATTTTGGGTCTTCATTTTGCTCATCAACATCGTATTTTATTTGGCCCTTTAATTTTCCCATTCGAGCGTCACTGATGAGTCTTTTGTAGACGAAACACATACACAATTATAATCCTGGTATCTTTGATCATTGTTTTTCTATAAAGAGTCTTTTGACAGTTTTGGTCAACATGGGCAGTTAGTAGATCTAGATATTCAAAACATTTTTGCCGAGGTCACATTTCCTTTATTTATAAAATTTTTCAATATACTAGATGGGTATTTGCATTTTACCACATCTGTTAAATGTATATTGCTAGCCTTGGTGGTCATGATGGTAGTCCAGCGGGTTCATCGGACAAAGTTTTATACTAGAACCTTTTAGGATAAATGTGGCCAAGCTTGATTGCAATTGGCTTAGCATTTTTTATTGAACAGGTTTTAAAAAAAGACGGACAACAGACGAACGCCAAGAGATGACAATAGCTCAAAACTGTAGACCAGGTGAGCTTAAAATAGGTTCATGGTGAAGTGAAAATTCATTCACATTACAACAGTCATTCTCATCCTTAATTATAAGTAATTGATATTTTATTATTTTACACTCCAGTCATGAAAACAATTATTGCTGTGATTATAATAAATGTTTAATTTTATAAGTTTTAGTTCAGAAACGGATAATTACGAAAATTTTAGCCAATTTTATATCTTCAATTAACATTTATCAAACATATTAATATGTTAACATCTATAATTCATATACAATTATAACTATACATAGCTTTAATAATACTTTTAATATGTAAACAAGTACATAAAATGTATACGTTGATGTGGCAGTCCTCAACGACACAAATACCAAAAAGACATGTAATGGTCCAAATACTGTCTCAAATAATAAACAGATTTCTATATACTTACTCAAACTTTAAATCACAAGTGAGGAAGTATTGATGTCTGCTGTTATTAAACATCAATCTAAATTATTTTTAGATTACATTCCTGAAATAGGCTCTCAACTACCTGCGCATTGTTAAAGATTATCAATAATTGGGCCATACAGCTATATACATTCCTATTGGCTACAAGGGTCATTACCATTTTCCTAATCTACAGTCCTCATGGAAATATATGTATAAATAATTTTTGACAAAAAATTCTGAAATCTGATATAAAATTCTTCATATGGTCATAGATATCACAAAATAACCATATGAATTGATTGGTCTTGTTTCGAATTATTAAGTGATTTGTAAAGATGGATATCATATCCAATCATGTATGTTTTATCCTTTTAAAACAAAGTGTGATGAAAAGTTTGAGGCAAAGTATCAAAATAAATATCCGATTTAAGAAATATAAAGAAATCAATTACACTTTTAAAGACATAATAGTTATTGTCCCCTTCTGCAGTACACGAATTCATCCTCTCTATTTAAGGGTTCGTGTTACTACACCACATATTTGTTGAGTTGAGTTGATCGACAACATTTGTTGAGTTCAGTGGAATTGTTTTTAAGGAGACAGTCGGTATATATTTCAATGTTACTGATTGTGCACCACTACTGCACGATTTGTTTTTGTACTCATATAAAGCAGACTTCATACAGAATCTTTTAATAGACCAAAAAACATCTTGCAAAGTTTTTTTATTTCATTTCCAGATATATTGATGATGTTCTATCAATAAATAATCAATATAGTGCTTTCATCTCATACATCCCAGTGAGCTTGAAATTAAGTATAGTTCCAAAATTAGAAGGTCTGCTTTATATACTGATCCAAATGATTAATGTGCTCGTCCCAAGTCAAGAGCATGTAATTCAGTGGTTGTCGTTGTTTCATGTCTGTCATATTTGTTTTTCTTAAAATGTATTGTATAAATTAGGCCGTTAGTTTTCTAGTTTATTTCACATTTTAATTGTCGGGGCCTTTTATAGCTGACTATACGGTATTGGTTTTTCTCATTGTTAACGGCCGTACGGTGAACGATAATTTGTTTTATCTTCGTCATTTGAACTCTGGTGTATAATTGTCTCATTAGCAAACATACCATCTCCTTATGTTTTTATACATTCACACCATACACTTTCTGAAAATACGTTTCTCTTTCAACTAAAACATTGATATGCTATCTACAGACAAGGATGAGTTTTAACACAATCGGGTTATTGCATAATCCAACACTTCAATTAAGAAATCCTGCAACAGTGTCATATTGAGATATGCGATAATTGATTTTTTCATAAATCAGAATATTTTATATACAAGTAAGACCTATCAGCTATATATCAGGCATTAGATGTTACTTTTGAAGTCGATGTAGCCCAGTAACAAGTGAATTATCATGTTAAACACACAAAATGTTTGAATCAACTGATGTGACATTTTTCCATTTTTTCTATAATTCGGCTTTATTTTTACCTTATCATTTATATTACTTTGTAAATAACAGAACAATACTTACAGAGCGGATTCGTTTAAATGTGTCCTTATCAACGTTCGAAAAAATATTACATTCAGGATTAGATAGAATCTTGAACGCTATAGCACAGTGATGATTTTCTAGTGGTGAAATATCGTTATATCGAATGGCAAGCTCTGTTCGTGCATTTATCTGATATCTGCAATTAAAGTTTAAGAAATTCCTTTGCTCAATGAAGATGATAAAGAAAAATATACACATAGTAGTATTTATTAACATTTTAAAGTCTTCAACAGTTAACATAAGTTTTTTCAATGCAAACGTACATAATATTTACGAACGATGAACATACATTTCTTTAAAACAAATGACAAAATCTAAGGCAAATCTTTGGTGTTTCTTTCGAAAATATTATTCAAAAACGCTCACTTATTTCTTGACTGAAAAAGCTAACATCTATAAAAATAAAATGTCAAGCTCTAAACTTATAATTCATTTTCATTTCATGACAGTCTTTTGATTGTAAAACGCTCCTTAATGTGGATCGACCCTACAAGAAATCGGCGATAGATTTTTCTGAAAGATGGAGAGAGAAAAAGGAATTAAAAAATAAAATTGGTTGACGTCCTTACTTACTAATGCAAGTTTAAAACTTAATATTGTTATATTGATTATAGTGGGAAATCACCCATTACAGAATAAAACAAAATCTTACCAGTAGAAATTAGGAAATTAACTATCAAAATATTAATTAGGGGAAATTGTTTCTATCAAATTATTTCAGGAGAAAACAAAATAGTATCGATTCCTGCTTTCTTGCTATATTCTAAAACAGTGTGCAATTTATATGATTTACAACAAAAGCCAATTTAATTATCTCCCCTTAATTGAACATACATATCTCCACTGAAAAAATCTCAGATATTTCGATTTATGAATAAGTCAGTTATTAAGGAAAATAATGTTGAAATATATCTTGGGAATAAGTATTCAAAAAGTGTTGGTTTTGCAAGAAAATGATAATACATTTTCGATTATGTTAATGTTTTGAAATTTTCAAAATTATATAATATCGACATATAAAACCAGAATCAATGTCAAGATGATGGCGACACAGATGTCTTATATGATGTCCAGCTAAGCTGTAATTGTCTACTTTAAAATTTACCGACTGTTAAAAAAGCTGTTATATAACAACAGGTTCTCTCGATCTTTTTATAAGCTGTTCATAAAGTTACAAGAACCATCGACAACCTACAATAATTAATTTAATACTACTCACGTGTTGTTATAACCCGGATGATCCAAATCGTGGCACACACATGCTGTCATCAGAATTCCAAGACTTTCTCTGGACATGTGGTCCCATAAACGACAAAGGTTTATCATTCCATACATCATTTGAGTCACACAAAAAGAATGTCGGAAGTTATGGAAAGGATTGTTTCTGTAATTTTCTTGAACACAGAGCTATGAAGAGATAGAATACTTTTGCTAGTAATTTATATGAACCATTTCCTTTTGATTCAGACTTTGTGCACTGATTTAATAATGATCTAATGAACTTATTGAAGAATTTTCTATGAAAATAATTGTTACGAAAAATTAGCACATTAGAAAAGTCATCAATAATCATTATTTCTGACAGTGCTGAGTCAGTAAAACAATTATTAGTCACGAACATCATTAGATTGATGGTTGCTTTCCGCCGCCTCAGCACAAACAGGCTATATCGCGGCGAAACATCCGTAGAAACTATCTTTCCTGAGGCCATTGCACACTTAGTATTTCTAACCTCTCTATTTTCTTATCAATAACTGTTTATAGAGATATAACATAAAAAGCGCTCATAAACATGGTTATTCCCGACACATTATATATGTGACTGTCCCAAATCAGGAGTATGATACTCAGTGGTTGTTTGTTTTTTGTTGACTATTTTTGGCATAGATCAGATCTTGTATTTTCTTTTGAATTGTTTCACATTTTGTCATGCCAGGTCCTTTTATAGCTTACAATGAGGCATGAGATTTGATCGTTATTGGCAACTGTACGGCGGCCTGCAGCTGTTTACTTTATCTTCCTTCAGTCTATAGTTGATAGTTGTCGCATTGGCAATAAAGTCGCATTTTGTATTTGAATACAGGAAAATGGAAGGTTTTCTAAGCAAGTGTAGTGCATTATAAAACCAAATGGTGACAATAGAGTTTTCTTCAGAGGTAAGAATAAACATATATAATTTTATAAGAATAATTTTCGGATCGAATGATACTCCTTTTTGTATTTTTGTAATTAAATTTACAGATATAAATAAGTATAAAAACATACTTCTTTCAATTATCTTCAGTGCATAAAGTAATACTTACGATCCATCGCTTTAGTGTAATGGGATTTATGCTAAACTCTGCTACTAATCCAAGTTCGTGATACATGTGCTCCATTAAACTAAGCATCTGTAACAACAAAATAAACAATGATTTGTGATCACATCTCTGAAACTCTGAAACAACAAAATAAAATTTTAATCAGACATAATAATTATTTACAATACTATCAATTGGTGTTCTTCACTTTGATCTCTAAAAATAAACAGTAGATTGTATGAACGAAAATGGTTATCGAATTTTAACAATCACTCAAAAGTATGGTAAGGTCGACCAGGTGTGTGTTTTTAACGCACATATATATGTTGAGCATATCTGATAGGGAGAAAAGAATCTTTTATGTGAAGAGATTATGGGATTCTCTAAATATAATCAACTATATTCCATTGCGAGGTTTCCGAATATTTCTTGACAGCTTCAAAGCAAAGATCATCCCAAATACATAGTTTAGGGCATGCTAAATTGTCTTAGCTATCGATATAGTAATGCAACGCGTTGGTTGTAATGTTTATACTTCACATTTGAAATGTAAAATCCATAAAAAAGAATTTATAACGAGTGCAAAATGACATGACATGACATCTTTCAATAATTTAAAAGGGTACGATAGCAAAAGTCTTTTTTATCATATTGCTTGTTCATTCTGTCATTTTGGATATTAAATCATTTGTTTTGATGTCCACACTGCACTCTGTCTAGTTTATGATATAAAATCATGGTGCCAAATTGTTTTCGACAAACGTAAAATTAGACAATTTTATCTAGTTAAATAAAAAAGTCTTTACGTTACCTCATTGGGTTCCCAATGCCAGATATCAAATGTTGGCTGCTTCAGGTAGTCGGTTGTCTCATGTGATAATGTGTACTGGAAAATGACGATACATTGATGCATAAGATATTTTACGTATTACTATTAATATAATGATATTAAACATATAAATAATTAGGACACTGAGAAGACGCGCTTTCAAAAAATGTAATTACATCAAATATACATTAGAATTTTCGCTTGATGCAACAGGTACGAAATTTGATGATCTCTTGGGTTTTAATGAAATATTGCATGCGCAATAAAACTGTAAACGAATCTCGAAACAATGAAACATGGCAGCTATAAACTTCCGAGACAAAAAAAACTAGATATCTGGAAGTAGAATAACAAATGTATAAAATACACATTTAGATCGCAAAATAGCCGAATAATTTGATTTCAAATTGCTATTGCCCCTGACATCTCCGTTTTATTATTATAAAATTTATAGAAGTCACCAAATTAAATTTTATTAAGCAAAGTCCATTCTTGTGAACAGTGTGTCAAAAACACAAAAATTAATAGATAAGAGTGACATCATAACGGCATTGTACATAATTTATTTATGCATAAAAAAAGAAAAGTGTCACCCTAAAAGTTATTTATTGATAGAACAGAGACAGACATTTCAATGCCAATAACATATAATTAATAAACAGATTTGACTACGAAAGACAATTTAAGGTCAAATAATATAAAAATAAGGAGATGTGGTATGATTGCCAATCAGACAACTATCCACCAAAGTTCAAATGAAGTTGATGTAAGCTATTATAGGCAACCGTACGTCCTTCAACAATGAGAAAAAACCCATACCATATGGTCGGCACTTTTTTATAAGCGATATTCACGTCATTGTATACATTTTTGTTTATCTATATGTAGGATATTCAATTTGGAATCTCGAAAGTCATAAAGAAACAAATATTTTCCCGATAGTAGCTTGCAAACTTTCATACAAATCCGATGATATTATCAAATACTGGTCACCGTACGGCAAAGTTTTATGCTCATATGTAAATATAAGGACAATATCTCATTAGGAGCCCGTATTGCAAGCTCTTATCGTAGTTTGCTATAGGTAATAATTTTATGGCCTTAAGCAAATATATGAGACAAAATGTAAAAAATCGGCATCAGCAAATACCAACGGTCAGTAATACTGTGTACACAAATACAAAAAGCTGTGGAATGACCCCCTTATACACATTTATAAGGCAATACGTAATTCGCTTTAATTCAGATGATATATCAAATAGGTTTTTTGGTGGTTAGAAGTTACATATTAGCTAGAATTTTATTATGTCATCTTTATATTACATAATTATCATGAATTATATATAGCCTTCAAAAAATTTTACTACTTCCTCGCGCTAAATTTCTTTCTGGTATCTTTGATGAGTGTTTTCATACCAATTAAAAGTTAAGACTTGAAAATTACTTAATTTCGAAATTAGGAATCGTGATAGCAAAAATAAGAATAATGCCTTTGCTATACAGACTGCCTGACAACCTTTGCTGACCACTATATAAGATCTAATCCTTAATAGATATTTCTGATCGTCTTAAAGTGATGATTTATTGGTTTTTCTTAATTTTGTATAGATTTTGTAGTGAAGTCATTCAAGAATTGACTAACTTTACAATTATGTATTTATGTCTGTCAATTTTTATTTCACATTATCACTTCGTTGCGTGCTGTTATTTCTGTTCACTCTTTCCAACATACATCTTTCATTAGCATGAAAGCTTCTGACATCTGATATAAAATGAAACGATTTCCGTTGCAATATAATTAAAATTTACATTTCCGTGCTTCTGGGAAAAATCTGATGGAAAATGTTAGAAATTTATGGTTACAACTTATGACGACGTTAAGTAACGAAAAAAAGGTATTAGAAGGCCTTATTCAGCTGGTTAATCTCATTTCGGTCAGAAATTAATGGCCAGGAAAAGCTTCCTTGAAGTTTTTCTACACGTGTTACTTTTAATATGCGTGATAATATTTTTATCTTTCACAGCATCGAACGTTCTTAAAAGGTATATATTATACGTGTGTCGATAAAACAGACTTGTTTTATATCGTTCTAATTTGGGTTGTTTTTAATTTTACACTCTTCATTCGGGGTCTTAAGTTTTGTTGTAATGCCTTTTCCTCAATAATAAGAGTCATATTTCTGTCTGTTCATACTCATTTAATTTGTATTCAAATTATTTGAAACTTTTCTGATGCTCATTTACAAAGTATCATATTATTACAACGATATATCAAAACAACTTTCCTAATACTATTTTTGCATTAGACAAAAAATAATATACAATTTATTTGTTACTAAAACAATCCTAATTGGAGTTTTATTCTATTGCATAAGTATGTTATTTTGATATAAGGGCAAGCTCATTGAGGAGTCGTTCTCTTTTGGACCTCCAAATGTTTAGCGCAACTGATGCGACTTAATCATAGAACAAAACGCGCAATTGTGCTGTAATTTAAAAGCCTGCTATCTTCGATGAGTACGCTAATCATTATCAAGAAAAAGATCTACTAAAGTTTGAATTCGGTGCTTATACATTTATGAAAGTCTTTCCTGTTTCATCTTAGCGAATCATTAACTCTAATAATCAGCCATTTTACTGTTAGATTTTTGTTTTAAAGTTAATGAGCATCTTTAAAAAAACAAACCTCACCCTTTTTCTACATAAAATACAAGTTTAAAATATAAGTTTAAAAAAACAAATTCAAGCGAAAGGAGTTCTCAAATTTCCAAAAGAGAAAAAATCATTTACATAAAACCATTTTTTCTTTATTTACGCTTTCTGTGTGTGTGAGATCGACCACTTCCCATTTATTCAAGATGTCTCGCAAAAGTCCGGAATTATGTACAATAGAAAAAAACTTAGTGATACATGTGCAAATTTAGCTAATTCTGGTAGTGAAGACTATCTCGCACGAAAGTAGATAATGTGTTTTCAAACGCCTTTAGCTTTTAACAAATAAAGCTCATCGCTTTTGTGAATTAGGAAAATCGCATTAAAGGACAACATTAATTCACGCTATACATAAGATAGGTACATAGTTTTCCTCTGTCTTTTATTCCCGGTTGATAAATATATTAAATTGCAATATGCATCAGTATTGGTGTATTGTTTTGAAAAGTTTGAAATATTCAAACTATCATGCTGTTCTTGAAAAAAAAGGATAGACAAATATGTCCGTAGAAACGTATGATACCGCTTTCCGGAAACAAGATACGTGTTTCCTGAATAACCTTTATCCGTCAATCGCTATAATAAACGTTAAGTGAACAATAATGTTAAACGTCTGACAGCGTAAAAAACTGGGAGAGCCTAAACAGTAAAAGCAGTCAGTGTAAACTAAAATATAAACGTCAGAATAAAACTTTCTTCAATATCTATTATGGATTACATTCTTTTGTTATTCATAATCGGTGTTAATACCTTTGGATAAGCTGGAACATCCCTTTTTAAACTGATTTTCGTCTCATCGCTTACAGAACTGTAAAAAGGATCAAAACCATATCCATATACGAGTGGTCTGGAAGCCAATGATGATTAATGAAATGAAATAAACCAAACCATAAAAAAAAACAGGATAACCACAATATATAAAACGCAAGACCAATCTAAACACATTCAAATAAAAAAAAACTATTATCTATACACAATAATAAAAACAATAATAAAACGAAAAAATTATATACAATTCTAATCACTTTCGCCTGTCGTTTTTTCCTTTATATAATTATTTTGAAACTAGTAAATCAAAATGAACATGGTATTTGACATCACAAGAACACAGCTTAGCGCTGCCAAATTAAACATTTTCAAGAGAATAGTTTTTATACCTTTACTATTCAGATTTCCAAACTGTTGAACATTTAAAAGATTGCACGAAGGAAAAAAAGCGAAGAAAAACAGTGAAAAAGAGAACATGGATCATAAAGACATGCACACATATACATAACTGAAAATATTTATCAGACATAACATATGGAAATATAGATTCCACCATTGCAACAAGTGTGTTACGATATTTCTCCACTCGAAACAATTAAATTTTAATATTTAAAGCGCGAGGCTTGCCTAGCTTTTTAAATAATTAAAATTTAACTATTGAAAGTGGAGAAATATCGTAATACACGAGTTATAGTGGTGGAATCTGTTTCTCTAATGATTTTTATCCTTCCTTTTCAAAGATTTGAAGAAAGTTGTGTAATTTTAATGTGACGTCATCAGGCATGGTCGCCTTTTTTCATGACGTCACAATAGGAATATTCAGAAGAAACCAAGACAATTTGACGTCAAAATTAAATTTGATATTTCACTAGTCAGGAGAAATATTTTACTCACACCGATCAAGAAATGTGAAAATAGCACAAAAATTAAAGAAGTGTCATATCACCAATTCAACCAATAAATATTGACAACATATGTAAAAGTAGGCATACTCTGACCACAAATAGTGCGTTTAATGTAGTTGCTATTAACAATTTCACTAGCAAATGAATTTGCATAAATATAAATATTTTAGACCATGTTGAGCCAAAGTTAACTTGTTCATGAATTTACGTTACAACTTGATGGTAGATGTGCTGCATAGAAATCTTATTAAATGTTTTCAGCATTGATATTTTCGGTAAAACGTACTTCGGATAAGGGTGAAGGTTTGGTACCATTAAAACGTTTAAACCCGCTGCAATTGTTTGCACCTGTCCTAAGTCAGGAATCTGATGTTCAGTAGTTGTCGTTTGTTGATGTGGTTCATAAGTGTTTCTCGTTTCTCGTTTTTTATATAGATTAGACCGTTGGTTTTCCCGTTTGAATGGTTTTACACTAGTTATTTTGGGGCCCTTTATAGCTTGCTGTTCGGTGTGAGTCAAGACTCCGTGTTGAAGACCATACTTTGACCTATAATGGTTTACTTTTATAAATTTTTTCTTGGATGGAGAGTTGTCTCATTGGCATTCATACCACATCTTCTTATATCTATTTCTGAAACGTACGTCATTTGCCACACATTAGATGCAAAATTGGTATACAGAGATGTGATACATGTACCAGTTTTGATATATATGCATATGGTTATTATGAAGTTATTAAGAAACGTAAGGTTAATTATTTAGAGTGCTAGTGCTGTGAAAATTGAAAGTTTGGTTGAACATGTAGGCTTCATTGGTCGTATGATACATTGACTAGAAGGTTAAAAATCAAAGAAATTATTTGGCTTTTGCATGTTATATCATTGAGACATTCCATGCATAAGACACACAACAAAGCCTAATATTTAAACAATCCAATTTACATCTAAATACCATAAACTATCTCAAAATTTAGTTTTTACTTTGTATAATTAAAGTTGTAATTGAAAATGATTCATGGTGTAATGGGGAATGACGTAAATTAAAATAACTCTCCTAAGCGCTTTTCTGGATTTACCTTCATCTGGAAATATTATCCTCTCCAGAATAAGAATTTTTTAATATTATAATCTGAAATGATTCCCAGAAAGAAGGTTTTACCGGTTTTGTGTAAATAGCTCTACGTTAAACTATGTAGAACTTTGTAAAATTGACTGCTGGTTAACAGCAGGATTTAATATTCTGGTATCCGAACCATATTACCACTCGTTGTAATAACAACAAATGTTGCTGCTACTTGCAATGGTGATGATTATTATAAATGTTGTAAATATATACCATTATATTATGATACTTTCTATTACAACCCACTTATCAAATTACTTTTTTATGAAAATGAATAAAAGGAGGAGTGTGGTATAGGCTAATGGCGTAGCAACTCAACTCGACATAAAAAACTGAAAATACAAAGGAGGTCGACATTTGGTCCAACTAATTAGACAAGTGTCTATACCATATTTTAAACTCTATATTGTCCCGATTCTAAATAAATTGTCAATAAATGCAGCAGATAATATCAAAATAAGATTTGGCATCAACACCCATCTCCCTAGGAAAACGCCATTACGATATCACAAAAAGTGAACGAACAGGTTCCTGATGGGACTGGCACTTCAAAGTGATATGGGGCTAAATCAGTTTGCAAATATGTAGAATAATAACAAATTTTCATAGAAATGAACGGTTTATTGTTTCAAACCATATCTAATAACACCATTTTTTAAGTTAATGTTAGTACCAAATCAGGGGTGAAAAGAGTTTAAAGTGGTTCCGGTAGTCTTTGTGTTATGCATTTTGGTTTATTTAAAATTTTATGTACCCTTCGACTGAAGTCATTATTGAAACTTCCCTTTTTTGTTCAATAACTTTCAAATCTTGTGGCTACCCTGTTTTTGTTTCTCATATGATGTTTCATTGAAGTTTATACTTTTAAGTGGTTTTTTTTCAGATGTTAATAATCAAATTCATAAAAAATTATTGAAACTCCATTTTAAAGTACATAAGGTAGCATAATTTACTGATTGTTTTAGATAATCAAACGTAATGGTATTTAGGAATTTTCTCAATCTACACATACAATGACTACAAGACACAACAACAAAAGCATGCGAAAATTAACAGAAAAGAAAAATATTAAAATAGATGGTTTGATGAATAGTGTGATGAAACATATACATTCTGCTTCACAACTGCACAACATTTACTTTTTGTAGAACAATAGTTCCATCCTGGCTAACAAAGCCACTTGGAATGACATATTATGATTATTATTATAAAGCATTATAGGTAACATATAAAAATCACAAGACAAAATTACAAAGACATAGATATAAGTGCCAGTTATCAAAGGCACACAGTAAACCGTTTAAACCTTGAGTTATTATGGCAAGTATAAATACACTATTTAGCATTAAAATTGCGGTAATCAAAAGGTTCCTATTGTGAATAAAATTTTCTTTTTAGTTTTTTTGACGTAACAATAAATGACGCTGTTAAAATTGTTTCATAAAACTTTATTTTTCTAATCTGAATACAGTGTCCTTTTATGCTGTGGGTTTATTTGAAGATACATCATCTAGGACTATTTTCAAAGATTTAGTATATTTCGTATATAAAATACGAATGAAAATATTTTGTTACCCATCCTAACGTTCTATTTACGTAAAACAAATTCAGAAAAACGCCAATATTCATATGACCCTTGATAAACTTAATAACTGTGTATGCGTATAAAGCTTTTTTTAATTAGAAAATGTATCAACCGAAACAAAATGGAATCGTATAACAACGGCAACTTTGCAGAATTCGCCTCGAAAAAGAAATCGTATAGAAATTTTAGCGAGAAATGCAAGAACAAAGATTAATGTTGGGAAACAGCATGATCGATGGGAGAGTTTAAATGCCTCAGTCAGACTTGAAAGGCAAGCCGAAGTTACTAAATCATTGATCGTAGGTATGGAAAGAATGTGCTAGCACGTTAATTTACAAATAAACAACGTTAAAAACACGATGAAATATGTGAGATTGTGAGTGCTAAGTATAATGCACATTCGTGACTAAAGCATTGTTGTTATTCAAAACATAAGATAAGCGTTGGTTTTCAGCTTAAAGGCTCGATAAAGGATACATCACAGAGCAGAACGTAGAAAGAAAAAAAAGCAATATTAGTTGAAAGTAAAAGGAATAATTTTTAACAATCACTATTTGTAGCATTTAAAAATGTCGAAAACTTTCATTTGATACAATTTATTATAACATCAATATATGATCATTGTCGTGTATTATATTTTTGTTCAAAAGTAAACAGAAGTCATTTTTTGTCTTATTTAAACAGCCCTAATATAAAATAGCGCCTAAATTATGGATTGTGTATAGATATTAACCATTAAATTGAACTGTTTTTTCTCATCCCTCGCTCCCAAGTGTAGCAAAAGAAATTGATTTTGACAACAAGCATGTATTGCATTCATTAAACCAACCTTATTTAGATCATTGATAAAAATATTTATCAATGCGTTTCAGCCAATAATATTAAAATAGTTCTGTAAATGTCAACGACGCCTTCCGTGCTTCATTAACTTTAAATATAAATCCTTACTGATTCACATACAGCATTTAGTAGCATTGATATTTTTATTTTCTGTATTATTTCTTCTTATAATATGTTGAATTATTCGAAACACTAAGTGTTTTGCATAGATTGCCTTAGCCGTATTTGGCACAACTTTTAGATTTTTTAAAGCTCTTTAACGTTGTATTTGATTTGGCCTTTCAACTGATTTGATTCGAGCGCCATTGGTTGGTCTCATGTAGACGAAACGAACGTCTGGCATATCAAATAATACGCCTGGTATCTTTAATGAGTTTTTTCATCCTAAAATACGATTTTCGTAGCGACTGTCTCTTTAAAAATGGAAACAAATCCGTGCATTTTAATATGTTGTCTTATCGTAATGTCTTTTGTTTGCTTTAGTATGCAGAATATATCCGTTTGCTTTTAAATCTTTGTTGTTTTGCAATTTACTACACTCACCTTATTCTGTTAAAGTCAACAAATTTCTTTTGTGCTGTCCATATTTGGTCTTTAATCTCAGATATATCTCGCTTACATTTCTCAATTTCTACAGATTTAAGCCCTTCAACTGACAAAAAAAAAAGAAAACTAGGCTATTTGTAACATATTACTTTTTTAAGATCTGTTTATCGACCATTAATTATTCTAAAATCTTTTAATTACCTTCAAATTTTTTTTCGTTGAAACAATACCGATTAATTCATAAACATTTTCAGCGAAAAATGTATATGAGTCGTTACAAAGCTTCTTCTCAGAATGTTTAATCAATGACAAGTAAACAGTATTTAGGAGATAACTGTATTGTATTTTAAGCTTGGCCTTCGTAAAACGTAGATTTTGCTGTCACAAATTGAGTTTACCAAGAGGCGCGTAGTGGGCCTAGGTAAACGGATATTTGCGACAGTAAAATCAAGTTTTACGAAGGCCAACCTTAAAATACAATACAGTTATCTCCATTCTAATGCCACATATTAAAATAAATTGCATATTAGTAAATGTTTTGGCTTTAAAGAAAAGCCATAAATGAAAGTCCGCAAAACTGTTACTTCGTCTTTGGCATCTTAACAATGTGAAGTCATAGGTATACTCCCGATGTCAAACACATACTTTTCGTACGCTTCTGAATGGTTTCAATATTTCCAAAAAGAAGATTCTGAAGCACAAAATGTTACGTTTTTGTTTATTTTTTGAGAAATTACATACCAAAAAAATTCAGATTTCAAAATGGTGGCTTTCCGTAATACGGACTGGTAGAACGTAGAATCTAACCCTTCAAAATATTTGTCAACGTCCGATGAAAATTATCGTTCTAAACGAATTGCATTAGAACTATAGATAAAAATGCTGGTCCACATTTTGTATCGTATATCAGAGAACCTGGAAATCAAATCAATGAATGCAATCTGAACTAATCATTTTTATCTGAAACAATCTTCACAGCCAGAAATTCCCATAGTGCTATGAGCTTAAAACTCTTTTCGTCTTTTCATTCTTTTTAGAACCTTTCGTTCAGTCAAATATATCAAGGGTTCATATTATCACGGGGCCTAACCTACAAAGAAACTCCAAAATTGTATCGTAGCATAATAACTAAAGTAATATGTATGAAAGGAGATGTGGAGTATGCTTAAATGAGACAACAACTAATAAATCTAGAGGTAAATAATAAACCGATGTCTACATTTACAAACTATCTACTTATGAAAAGGTCAATTTCGTAATCGTGAGATATGTTTTGTATATAGTCTGCACAAGGGACAGTAGTATTTATGCTTGACAATTCTACTCTCAAAATGTAGTCTCGATATCATCATAATGTCTTTTTATAAGTAATATTATGTTTATTTCATGGAAGAAATAAAATTAGCCATAAGGGGACGTAACTCTAAAATAACGCAAAGCTATTAACATTATAATGCCTTGTCCTCTTTTAACTGTATATTAAAAATTAACACTTGACCACTTTTATGATAAAGATAAAGTTATTGTTTAGACTAGAGACGGTTAAGAGCTTGATATTGTACATACACCTGTTTTTGGTGAAGACAATATTTTAACATCCAAATGTCTTTTTTTTTTATCTTTGTTGTGGGAAGCTGTGTCATTAACGTGTATCGTTAATCTCCTTTAATCCATTAGTATTCTAAATCATCACTTACTTTCCATTTTTCGTTCCAATGCAGTAAGCCTTGAAGATATATCGGATTTTAGCTCTTCCATTTTAAATACTCTAAAAAACAATTTACATAGCATTGTATTATAATTGAACAAAAAAGTATAAGAAAGTTAATAGATATAGAAAAGAAAACAAAACTCGTAGATTAATTTGCCAATTTAAATCATATAATCAATAAAGTAATTTTTGTTTTCGGAAACACGTTTCATTATTTGATTTTAAATTTTATCTCCAATGTTTTACTTCAAGACAGACGCAGTCTATTAAAACGGGTGATGCTTATTATAATACATTTTCCAATAAAATAATCAGTATCTTCATTATTTTTATTCAGAATAACAAATGTCAAGGCACTTGAAGTTTGAGAGACTAAAAAGTGTTAATATATATTCAAAGATTGGTGTATATCTGAGTAGCCTGTTTATTTTACATTTCACACTAATCAATGCATGACCGCCTTTTTAGAACTAGCCACATGTACAAATGATAATGTATACGTGATTAAAGGTCCATGAAATATAACCTCCGTTTTTGTAGCACGTGAAAGAAGTGAAATGGTTATAAAGCATGCAGGTTAAAACAGAAATAGGAGTAAGCTTTAAAAACTAAAAAGAACATGTTGAGTACTAATAATGAAAAGGTCACAATCGCTAATACTGTAAAACCGTAGATAATCTTATACTGTCCCTCTGGTATCGTTCGTCCCTCTTTTATAACGATAGCGTGCTTTTTCTAATTGAAGTTAAGCAACAAAGTTTAAAAAAAACTTAGATAATTTCTAAACACGTGAATCCAAATCGCAGAAAGGATAACATACATTGCATATAATCTTAATAAACGTGATCATGTAAAACGTGTTTGTGCCATTTTTTAGTATAATTAACCTAGTTATTACACAGAATTGACTTGCGCCTTCTTTCCAAATCATTAATTAAGTATATTTTTTCTAAAAATAACCATTAGATTATATCAAGATACATCAAGTCATCCGTGTTCACCTTTTATCATGGATTTCAATAATTGTTTCCATAAAAAGTAGATGGGGTTAAGAAAGAGCCAGATAAGAACAAGTCGGGATTCTCTATTCAAGATCTTTCTAATAAATAGAAACAAGTTCATCCTCAATATATATAAATAGAACAACACTTAACATGGAATATCTCTTCAGTAATACGATATTGCATGTTTTATTACAGTTGAAACTAAAGAATGACAATGATGAGTGTACATTTAACTCACGATGCCCTGTCTGGAAGAGCTAATCTAATAAAGAGATACACAATGAATCATGCTGTAAATCTAACCCCTTTTTAGATGCTGAGCTAGCATATTATACTGATAACAATAGCGTCAAATACAAAACACATCCTTGTATTGTTATTGAAGTTTGCTACAATTCATAGCCATTACACAACAATTCTAGCGCTGTAAATTTAAGAGTTTTTCCACTTAAGGCGACGATTGTGACCTTTTCGTTATTCAAACATTTTTTAACACGTTCGTATGATTATATCAACTTAATATAACACAGAAACAGGATGATCCTGGAGGTGTCATCATTATCTCTTGGAAATTAAATGCATTTCAGTAATAATACTCCGACTGTTCAAATAAACTTGTAATTCGGTCCCCTCGAGGTTCCAATGGAGAAGATTACAATATGCATTAAGTGCAAACATGCATATTGTTAAAACAAAATCACGATGCAGAAATGAAATGAAATAAATAAATAAATAAATGAATAATGAAAAGTATTTTGGAACCTAATATTTTGCAACGCATGTTTGAACGCCACGTTTGAACTGTTTGTATAAAATGTAGAAGATTTCTGAATATTTTATTAAAAGGAGCAAAATAAAACTACTCCCCACCATAAAAAAAATGAACAAAACAAATCAAATAAAAATTAAATTAAAACCATTGTTGTCTTATGAATGCTTAGTTCCTTCCATAACTTATTTTAGGCCGTTTGAAAAAGGAGCAAAAATTAAAGCTTACTTTAATGAGAACATGCAGCATCAACAACTCTAGAAAAGGTAAAAAAAATATGTTCAGCAGTAATTTTGATTTTCGTTATGACAAGTGCTTAACTTGGTTTACCTGCAAAAACTAATTAAAGGAAATAAAAAGCAAAGTCCATTGCGATTTGCTTTTCTTTTGGTATTTCCACCTTTAAACATTTGAAAAAACCGGTTTTCATTGCATGATGTTCCGCGTACTTCTTGACACTGAAGAAGAAATGTGTCATACTTAGCATACGTTTTGAACATAACCCGGTCACATTTAAATTGACGATCTTGTATAATGTTAATTCACAATAAGGCTTAATGTTTACAATATACTAACAAAATACGCGATTGTATACGTACCCCGTTATTTAGATTATTATTTGGAAAAATAATAATAGAAATAATAATAACTGGTTACCTGTTGAATTGTTCTGTAACTGTTGTCAATACCTGAGCGATGACTTCATTATCACCTGAAAAGAAACGTACTGTTACATATTGTTCATGTAAATAATGGGATCAAAACAACACACCACACACTAGGAGTTATTTGTATGTTTATATTCTATCACATGTGTTTTACAAGAGTCGAACTACAGTGAATTGTTGTACATTCCAACACATAATTATGCTTGTATGAATTTAATCAGAAAATTCGACAATACCATATCCTCTGTAGTTTTAGTGGAATATGTAGTACTAAAAACATATTCAAGCCAAGAACATGGACGCTAGACAGTTTAAAGCATGCAAAACAACCTGTAATACACCGAAGTAAGCCTTCTATTGTATAACATTTTTATCCTTTCAGATTTGTTTCCTACATGTATATGATTTAAACATAATTTGACTTTCTCATGTATTACTCAAATAAATCTGTTCGACTGAATTAGATAAATTGAATGTTCATAATGTATGAATTTCATAATAAACATATCTGCAATAATATACTTGTTTTCTTTATACGAACCGAATTGATTTTCGTGCTAACAACATGATTCATTTGATTTAAAACAATGGTATGTATTCATGCAAATCATAACTGCTATTAAAAAGTCTGATTAATCTCTATAACAACAAGGTATATTTCGTCATAGGATTTTATTACAATAACAATTGCAACAATTTCAGAAGGTTAGATGGTTAGAAGCAAATTTTATCAGAAGTAAAGGTTTCATTAACTCAAACGAATAAACTACTTGCTAAAACATTTTTACGAATATTTAATCAATACGTGTAAAATTCTTTCGTGAGTAGACATATTCAAATTAAAAGAGTTTGTTCTTTGAGATGGCAAAGCACTAAGGTTATCAAAATAGAAAACAGGTTTTATTCGTTGAACTGTTGATAAAAAGAAATATTGGTCTTTTCATGCAGTGGGGAGTATACACTTTTCTTATTCGACATATCATCAGTATAGAGGGGAGCAGTGTTGCTGTTATAATGAATACACAAGTCATCTGATTGGATTAGGTACGTTATACTTGATGACCCTTGTTGGAAGAGTCCTAAATTGTCAGCATTTTTCAAAAAGAATAAAACCAGACACAAGAAATGAAATACAAAAAAAAAAAATGGTTTATATGAAATAGTGTAAGCGTTTTTTTGATTTTTTTTGTTTTTGTTTTTGTTTTTACCATAGGATGATTGTACACATAAAGTAATTAACTTTGCAAAGTTTGAATAAGATTTTCGTTACTGTCAAATTGTTCAATACATTAATGATCGTCTAAATTGGGAGGGACGAATATTTATTCTGCAACATAAACATTACTCCGTTGTCAGCATTTGCTGTTTAATAACACAATCGAACAATACTCACAAACTAAGGATTTTAATCAGTTGATGGTTATGATGTTGACTCGGGGCAGAATTACGACTTAATGTCCTCCATATAATATCCCGGTTCGAATTTATAACTTAACCCATATTTCTCTTATTCTGTGTCAATTAAAACTCGGTGAAGGTGTTTTTATTGACTTGTTGAAAATGCTAGTTGTATTTATATTGATGCTGAATGGAACCGAAACAGAAATAATGGTCACTGGTTTGAAAAATATTGCAGCTGCCTTGTCGGAGGGAAATCTAAAAAGATTTTTTTTCAATATATCAAATTAATGACCTCCTTCTGTTAACAGGGAGAGTTGTTTATACACTACTTTTTGATAAGTAATGCATTTTGTTTGAAATAAATGAAAATAACACTTCATAAATTTCGTGTGTCCGAAGCGCTTTGTTCCCTTCATCAGGAACTCTTAAACCTACACATTGGAAACCCAGGGATGTATAAATACTTTCAAATGTTATGAGCCATATGACCGAACGTTACCTAGAAAGAAAAGCCAAATTTAGCTAAAGTCAACTTTGCCTGAGGCCGATGGAACCTTAGTTTTTTCTATTAATTTCAATATAATTCAATAATTCAATTACAACATAAATTTGTTTCATTCTACTTTCAGAACCTTTCAATCTTAGAAGAATTTTGCTCGTTTTAGTTCCATTTAAGGATGTTCGCTACTCTGTTTCAAAATAACAAGCTTTTTAAAAGACTGTTATAAATTGATAGTATATAAATAAAGGAACTAAAAAAGCAGAAAAAAATGAAGGGTCCGTGTGCTTTTTTTCGAAACATAAGCCAATGAAAATTTGGCGGGAAATGATTTTCTCTAGATTTTTCTTAAATTTAACATTGACACCCTTTTTCTTTCAAAAACAATTAAAAAATAACAAAGATTTTATAAGATTTTCAAATACGGCTTTTTAAACTATATGTAATAAAATTATGAAAAGAATAGTGGGGGTTAGTGGGCAAAATTTATAATGACACTACATCGATAAAACCAGAGGATTCCGAATATCTGGCAAAAATTCAAAAAGAACAGGAGCGAACATCCTTAAGTCATAAAGCTATTCATGTGTTTTGGTCCTATACATTCTTGTCTTTCAAATGCATGGGTTTGATCGTTCCTGATTAAGGTAAATCGAGAAAAACGCTTCGAACACACGAGATTAATAAAGTGTTATAAATATTGGAATACGTTAGAAGCTATATGACCAAAATGAATTCAGACAAAATAGCCAAGCCATCTTAAGTAAATAATGAGAGAGTTGGAACCAAAGTTTCTAAATAATTTGTGAACATAAGAAAGGTTTATTAAAAATCATGGCAGTGCCAAAACACTCATGAGCTGATGATACCCTCAGGGATTAACAATCAACATAGATTCGATCATTTAATCATTTAAAACAATTTTACTGCTTTGGGTATGATTGAATATGTTAGATAACACGCCGTAAAACAACCTTTTAATAATGAAATTACAACGTCTACGTCTGCATTTCAAGAGAAAGAAATTCGCTTATAACAAAATTTGAAATAAATGTATTGAACGCCCTTTACGTAGACAATGGAGAAAATGTAATAGATGGTGAATAAAACTATTCACAGGAAAAGAAAAGGATTAAGGAGCGGATTGTTTGTTGCTACTACAATGTAATGTTCAGTGGTCAAATCGTATAAAGCAGAGTTTGTCGTGGAAGGATATTTTCTATATCTTTTTTTTTATTAAAATAATACATGATATCGCAGTTTCTTGAGTCAGTTTTGATAGCCAGAATCATTTGCAGTGGTTTTGGATATGTTTGCCCTGATCGTCCATTCGTTTATACTGATTTCCCTACTTCAACCCTGCTTAAAAAGTCAAAGTGACAGTGTTTGACAATATTACAAAATTATAGTAACGCACATAACGAGCAACCTATAATGTATCTTTTCAGACTTTGGGACGACCAGTTTTTGTATGGACTTAATGAATTTAATTTAATGTCCTTATATAGAATTTCATCGAGTAAAAAATAAATTCAAAGTGTTTTTATTTATCTAATAAATTAAGGAAGTAAACCAAAGGTGAGGGGCGTTTCTCTTATAATCACTGATACGTTTTTGTCAACCGTTTCCATAATTATATTTTAAGCTTTTAAGCAACACGGAATATAGAACTTTTGTTTCACATGAGTAATTTAAAAGCATTTAATAAAGTGACTATTACAAGCTTATTACTAATATAAAGAGTAATCTTTCTTAAATTAAGGCAACAGTAGTATACCCTGTTCAAAAGTCATAAATCGATTGAGAGAAAACAAATCCGGGTTACAAACTAAAACCGACGGAAACACATCAACTATAAGAGGAAAACAACGAAACAACAGAAACACTGAAGTGCAAAAAAACAAAAAAAAAAAACAAACGCCAACGCAACATACATAGAAACGAACTATTTGATAACAGCCGAGACATACCCCTAAAATATAAACGTCACTAGATTGCACTTTATGCTCACTTTAGTTATGGACGAGCTCATAGTGTCCTTGGGACAGATGTTATATCAAGGCAAATAGAATCGAGCTCGATAGATCATTTTTAAATCAATTCTTTGCAAAATTTTTCCGTTTTAGATATAAACACATCAACAGTTTTGTACTTAGATAAGTTACTTCAAATAGTAATGATACCCGTGTTGTTAATTTAAAGATGTATTATAATGTGTAAAAATTAAATTCGAGATACCATACCTTATCATTTACAGCGTTGTAGGTAAGGTCTCTAGCATTAATCTTTGTGGAAGATCATGTTGCAAAAAGTAATTTGCCCGGTGTGTAAATGCGTTAACTGAAATATTATATCTGTTTTCAAGTAATTGCCAATTGATTTTACTTGTATTCAAATTAACTTACCTGATGTAGGAGCCGAGTCCTTGATGGCTACTTTATAAGGTAATCTGAAGCATAAATAATTGTCATGATGATGGTAACAAAAAATAAAAATCTTTAGTTGCATAAAACAGTTTTCATTTATTAACTTTGATATTCAGAAAAAAAAAACAAAAACAGAAAAACATTTATCATAAATACCAGGCTTATAACTACTTTCCAGCATTACTGGTGTTAAAAAAAAATATGAAGTTTATTTTAATTGATTAACACAAAGAACAACCAAGTATGAAAAAATAAAATAAATAAATATCATCGATGAACAAGTCAACTCCTCTTAAGAAGTATATTTCTATAAACAAGATCATTAGTTGACTTTATGCCAAAATATCATGTGAGAAAACCCAATCACATCGATTTGTTTTGTCCGTTTGTGACACACATTTTCAAGGAAACTTCAAATTTAATTTGAAATGTACACACATGTATAACAACCAGAAACGATAAACCTGAAAATATATAAAATTGTTTAGATTTTTCTCTGCATAAAACTTGACAGTGGGGTTCGTACTGCTCAATCTTTGGTTTTCTATGTAGTGTTTTGTGAACTTGTTCGTCTTCTTGTCTTTTTGCCATTGCCATATAAGTTTTTCGTTAATTAAGAATTTTTAATGTCCACTAGGTATCTTCTGTCTCTTTGGGGAAAATTATTTTCATAATGAGAGAATTTAACATATTAAAAACCGCATGAGAGAAGTTACAGGAGTGTTAATGAAATAAACACTTTATAAATTCTGTGCGACCACAGCGCGCGTCTGGCATGCATAAGTATAAAATATGGTATTTTTTATGATGTTTTTGAAAGCCATGAATGCGTACATACGATGATACGTTAGAAGCTAGATGATCAAAAAGGTCATAAACGGAATAGCAGATTTCATCTAAAGTACGTTTCTACTATTGCCTTTTTAATTAGTAAATATAAATAACACTTTATACATTTGATGCTAGGTAACGTTTTTCAGATTGACCTTCATAAGAAACGCCCAACCCCCCTTCCCCAAAAAAATAAATATTGAAAGCCAAGAATGCATCAATACAGGTATGTGTTAATCAAGAAAAGCGCTTCTGAAGCATGACATTTAAAACAATATTATTTTCATGTCCTAGCACTGAGTTGATACCACTGCCGGTGAACCGTTAGTCCCCGAAGGTATCAAAAGCTCAGTAGTGAGTGATTTGGTTTTTTTACGTACTTTTATTTAATTTTCCAATGATAAATAACGGAATAATTTTTAAGAAAGGCCTCTAACTTCCTCAGGCAAAGTAAACCTTAGATAAATTTGGCTATTCTGTTAAGTTCTCGTTTGGTCATATCGCTCCTTACGTAATCACGTTAAATATTACTTGGTTTAACTGTTTTATTTGGGCGTTCCTGGTACCAATTCATTTAAGGTCAATTTGTGTTTAGTAATTATTTATGAATGTATCAATTGTTTGGTAACATCTTAATGAATTTATTGCATAAGTTTGAAGCAAATCACAGATAATGTCAGCGTACACCTAAATGTACTCAAAACGTTAGCTTAAAGCCAATCATATCGTAATGTACTAATAACGTCAGCGTAAAAATGCAAAGCTAATGACTTCTTTTTGTTTTGATAAGGTCAGCTTGAAGCCAATCACATCATAGTATACTGATAACGTTACCTTATATCCAATCGAATCATAGTATACTGATAACGTTACCTTATAGCCAATAGCATCATAGTATACTGATAACGTTACCTTATAGCCAATCGCATCATAGTATACTGATAACGTTACCTTATAGCCAATCGCATCATAGTATACTGATAACGTTACCTTATAGCCAATCGCATCATAGTATACTGATAACGTTACCTTATAGCCAATCACATCATAGTATACTGATAACGTTACCTTAAGCCAATCGCATCATAGTATACTGATAATGTTACCTTATAGCCAATTACATCATAGTATACTGATAACGTTACCTTAAGCCAATCGCATCATAGTATACTGATAACGTTACCTTATAGCCAATCACGACATAGTATACTGATAACGTTACCCTAAGCCAATCGCATCATAGTATACTGATAATGTTACCTTAATCTAGTCGTCAGATATTATTGTACTCATAACGAGGGCCGAGGTAAAGGAACACTATGTAAGCTATCTCGCAGAACTTTTGTAAAATTTTGCATACATCTTTGACACGTTGAACTATAATTCAATAATTAAAGCAAAACGCATATCGATAAAACTTGCTACAATATTATTATTGAATGGATATCCTTTGAATAGGTAAACATTTGAATAAACTGCACGTAATATCTTTTGAAAACGTTCACAATATTGTTTTTAAAACTCCTTTCGCAACACCCAGTCCGTACATACTTTTTTGTAAATTGATTTGGTGTTGTCAGCTGATTTTCAATTTTAAATACCACAAAACGTCTAAATAAGCTAAACTTCGTGGCACTGTAAAGCTATAGGTGGCACGGTAGTATTTCCTGGGTCATAGGGATAATGATAGCCTTTTTAGAATTTTCACCACTTTCTAACACTGCCCAAAATTCTACATACACAGTAAACTGAAGTACTTTCATTATAATATTCAGAAATGAATTTGAATATGTATCATGACCGTTTTCTTTTTTTGCTATCTTTAAAACCTAAGGCCACTAGTGCTTTTATGTCTTTTATCATGCAGTGAATACAAAATTTAAAAAAATTCTCAAAAATTCATTTTCACCTGTATGTAAAATTATTTCATATTTTTCTACACCTGGTTCATCCCTCAGTTTGGGAAAGTATGTTCAGTTGATACTGTATTTTTTGTTCAATTACACTATTCAGATACATTGACTTAAGTAGGGTACACAAAAGAGCAACCTAAATTCCGGAATGCAAATACTACCGTGGCACCTATAAAACGTCGTTTTCCGACGATTTTCCTAGCATCACAGTAATAGTAATTGGTCAATACACTACAAACGAAAGTAGTTTCCAAATGATTATTTTATATCAATCAAACAGAGATGTATGTACCCGAAAACGGATCAATTTATAAGAAAAATCTATGGACTGCTTTAGGAGATTTGATATTTTATAAAACTCTTTTAAGTATGTTTTCCTGGTTAAAAGTTGTTTCTATACAAATGTACATCTATTTCGAAATAATACATTCAAACATTTACAGAAAATTAGAAGGGATAAGCGAATTGTTTTTTATTGTTTTTAATTCCGGTTAACCCATTAACTGAGCCATGACTTTAATACCAAATCAAATCTTATTGTACTGATAACGTTACATCATATTCAATCTTATTGAACTGATACCGTTACTGGCGTTAGTTTATAGCCATTCTCTTATTATTGTACTGATAACGTCAGCTTAGAGTCAATCCTGGCGAGACTAGCTTTTATATTTGTGTTTTGCGGAATTTATCCCGATTATTGAAAAAACAGACCATTAACTTTGTGTCATTTTGCAAAATATGACATAGTTAAGAGGAAAGCAGAAAAAAACAAATAACTTTTTGTCGAGTCTGCAGAAGAAAAAAATGAATCATTTGAAAATAAAGTAATGTTTAATATTTTTTTTTACTTTCGTTAAAGCATATGATGTCTCGATGACATGTTATTATTTGTTTCACTTAATCATAGACTGAAAGACGGATAGCATGCCTAAGTTTCTATCGAAATTCATCAAATCTATTATTACTGGAAATTTAAATTGACGATCAAGTTATTTCAGTAATTAGGAAACAATGCATGGTACTTGAGGATATTTGCCAGGAGTTACATTTCATTGATGTGTTAATATACAACAGTTGAATGCCATTAATTTATATAACAAACGACCTCCTGGCTTGAGATTTTGATCGACGTTTCTAAAAGTGTAACAGTATGAATAGTTTTCCAAGCCTGCAGGCACTAGATATCTAGTCAAAACTTATTTAGCTATACTTTTTTTCCTTCTATTGTATTTAAGCTCTTAATTTTTTTAATAAGTTTAGAGTTTTCAAATATTTTGGCCTCGGTCATCACTGAAGTGACATTTATTGTCAAAATGCTAATATGGTTCAGCCAAATTGGTACCCTTAATGTTATTGGATAATTTTTGTTTTGAAAATTAAGATGACCACATCACACCTTATTAACAGCACTCGGTATTGTAGATATAAAAGGATATGCCTACCCGATTTTTTTTTTAACAATTGTTTAGGCTAACGTACACAACATATTTTTGTCTGTGTTCCAGATTGCCTTTGCAATACAATGGAATTTGCTATCGGGTACAGCATATTTCTATGTTTGTTACCTACTGCATCTGCCGTACATATATAGCCAACAATGAGATGTACACATGGAAAACAAATTGTCATCATCACAAAAACTGGGTTTATCTCGTACAGTTTGATAAATTTACATGTGTTTAATAATGAAATATTGACAAAATCAATGTATCAATTTTCTACATGAATGGTTAAGTTGATCTTGGGAATTTAATAAATTCTTTTCCATCTTTCTTTCATTAAAAGCTCCCTTGTGCATCCACGGCCTTCAAAACTTTGATCTTGAGCATACTAAGTAAAGATAAATTCATGAAAAAACTTTTAAACGCAGTATTTGCTGTTTTGAACTTAGATAAATTAAAGTAATGAAGTAAAAGGCAGTAGACAATTTTGTGTGGTCGCGTTCAGCCAGTTTGACAACAAACGCAAATATATTGAAGTCTTACTTAAAGATAAAACAGCTGGTAAAATATGAATAGCGTTCAAAAACAAAAGAAAGGGAATATAGAATAGTAAACAGCATTGAGAGGAATGACAGACTTTGAATTATATAAAATTAAATGCTCTGAATAGGGATTTAGTCTTTTCATGTGAATCTAGTAACAATGAAAATATTAATTATAATACAAAAAATAAAAAACAACCCTTACAACCCCCAAAGAGTAAACAGTTTCAAACGTAACCGATTGTTTTTTTTAAACGTATTATCATAAGATTATTACTCGCAGTATAACTCACCCATTTGAGTTCATTGGCATTGTAGGAGCCAATGAAACATGTGCTCCTTGGCAATCTTTGAGTGATATTTCGCTGAATCTGAAGAATAAAACAATCAAACAAATGATATCATAAACAAATATTGAAGCATAATATTTTTTATGAATAAGAAATACATAAAACAGATATTTTTTATTTATTATAAATATAATAGCTATTCAGGCGAGAAAGTAATTTGTGGGAACTCGGCATTTAGAAATGAAATACATTTTGAAAGCCTCATTGATTCTAAACTGGATAAGTGTACTTGACAGCATACACGTGTTTCAAATTGTTCTGACGCATTTCCTACTTTAAGTTTTGTTTCATTACAAAAGGCTTTCCGTTTACGTCTTTATTACATCATTTTTCTGCAAATTATTTATGCCTAAAGTTTGATATAATAGATCGGTAAATTGCTGGGATTAATTGTCTTTAAAAAAATTCCACAATAGGGTTAAGTGTATATTTATCTATACAAAAATAAGGATTATACAGGGTCGATAACAAGAGGCTGTAACGTTTCCCACCAAAGTTTAAAATATGTTATGTATACTGGTATAGGGGTATTTAGGGGGGGGGGGGGGGGGGGGGGTTGAGATCTCACAAAACATGTTTAACCCCGCCGCATTTTTGCGCCTGTCCCTAGTCAGGAGCCTCTGGCCTTTGTTAGTCTTGTATTATTTTTTTTTAATTTTAGTTCATTTATATGTTTATGAGTTTAGTATGACGTCCATTTTTACTGAACTAGTACACATTTTTATTTAGGGGCCAGCTGAAGCCCGCCTCCGGGTGCGGGATTTTCTCGCTGTGCTGAAGACCCATTGGTGGCCTTCGGCTGTTTTCTGCTCTTTGGTCGGGTTGTTGTCTCTTTGAACAGCATACTACTACTATTGCATTTATTTGACATATTCCCCATTTCCATTCTCAATTTTATGGTATAGGTTGCACTTTGTAACTTAAGATGATTCACAAATCAGGACCTCTATTGGTAAGATTTTTTAATATTCATTGAATTTTGATATAAACCTTAACTCTAAATTGTTCGATGCATATAAATTGATAAAAAAATGCTGCAAAATATAATTATGTTTTGACCTTTAAAGTTATTGACATTAGTAGTTCACATGAACTTTCCATTCCAGGATATGATTTTTTTTATGAAACTTCAGGCGTAAAAGAAGTTCATATTGGAAATTGCACTATATGCAACCGTTTACGTCTATGCTAGACGATTTTATTGATTTGATTAAATATTAAACCACAAAAAAACATTACATCGTATTAAAATTTAATTATACTTGTCATTGGAATCTAAAATTATTCCCGTTCAATTTTATATCCTTGCTTGTTCTCAATCTTCCAAAAAGGAAATGAAACTGACGTTTTGCTAATGTTGTAAAGGATATGGCGCAAAAGATTTCTTTTAAAAACTCAATATAAAATTTTAGATATTACAGTTAGCACAGAACTGATAGATATATAAATCATGTTATGCCTTAATAGGAGATGAAAACCGTGTGAACGTATTTTAAATCGAGTAATTTTATAAATTTGTGTTTTACAGTTGATAGCTTGAATAGAGTAAAGTAATATGTAGCTAATCACGTGTGTTTCTAAATTCCTCATTTTTTTACACAATTTTCTAAGTCGTCAATGATAAAAATTAGTTTCATGTTTACGTTATATAGAACTATTTTGTTTGAATGCTCTTTTTGGAAAAGTAACCGTTTTATTCTTGATTAGATTATATTAATTTTTCTGACAAATGTGGGGGGATCCAGATACAATTTAGTGATGAACGTCTCTGAAATTTTGAACGGGGTATCTGTACTTGTACACATGTTTAAGTTTGGTCGGGCACATATTTACTTTTTAAGTCAAGATTACATCACGTGATTCGAATTATTAATGCTTAACTATAATATATCAATTGATGGGGTTAGTTATTTTGAACAAATATTCAGTAATATAAATTAAAGAACAAATTTACCGAGCTCCAAGGAAAATTCAAAACGGAAAGTCCTTTAGCAAATGGCAAAAATCAAAAGCTCAAACACATTTAACGAATGTAAACAACTGTCATATTCCTTTCTTGTTCGGGTTTTAATGGGTATGGCTGAAAGAAAACTTTTTTATAACCATCAGCTCAGTATTGACAGATATAGAAAATTGTTAATGACCAAATACATGATCAGATTTATAGTTCAAGTTTTCAAAATTTATTTTATATTGAGTGAATTTATAAATATGTATTTTCAATTAGATAGTTTGAATTATACAAACAAATGCGTAGCTAATCACGCGTGTTTCTACATTCATGCACTTGTTTACACAATTTTTCTGTTTGTCAAGACGTCAATCGTGAAATAATTTTTTTATATAGTTTTTCTTATTGATTTTATTTTTGTTTGAATGTTATTTCCGGAAAAGTATCCGTTTTGGTGTAGATTAGATTATTTGGATTTTCTAAAAATTTTCGTGATATGTTACTTTGCCAGCAATTACCTTACCTTCATCCTCAATATTTTGGCAACATAACAAATTAATAAAGCAAATCATATATTATGATGAACATATTATCATAGTTACTGCGGGGAAAAATTTTTTAGAGAGTTACCATTGAGAAATATTTATTGAAAGCCTCATTTATTCTTAATCGAAAAAGTCATCTTGATTTACAGTAAAAAGGTAAAATCATGATTACGTATTATATTGTCGAATCTTAATTTGTTTTATGTTTTACAAAGGAGGTGTAGAAAAAATATATACATGTAGTATTGTCTTCAATACATATATATACATGGAGGCGAATTTAGATATATCCATGATACATCAGCGGACTGGCACAGGGGGGTTTATTCTTACACGAATAGCCAACAATGTTTTCCAATTCCAATACTTTATGAATTTTTTGCCAACCCTTAATCTATTTACCCCTCTGATAATTCTTATCCATATTCAACTGTTCAGGCACATGGCAACCCTTTTGCTGTGTGTCATTTCGATAGATTAAACATAAAATTCAACTTAGTCTAGTTTTTTTTCAAATCAGTATTCAGTAAATATCAGTAGGCTCAATGCGTTAAATAACTATCGTGTTTAATTACCGTGGAGGCAGGATAACAAAATTATGACATTTAAAATTTTCGAACAAATGTCTGAAGGAACTACTGCTTTTGTTACGTCATTTTGATTTGAATTAACAGGAATTTTCAAAGGTTAACAAGTAATATTATATCTACTTACTTGCCGACCCCCGCAACCTGTGCAATAAGGTCATGTATATCTCTGGAACTACAATGTCTACTGAAAATGATCTAAAACGGAAAAAAATAATGTACTTGATAAATGTATTTATGTGTTGCGCATATCCTTCAAGAATGTACTTTTTCAAAAACTCAAGATAAAGGGTAACATTGATAGTACCAATTTTACTGCAATGGAAATCCAAAACATAATACATATGTTAAAGAGTATTTAGTTTGGACTATGATAGAGGTTAATCCCATCTATACAATAGTATAACTAAATTAATACATGTAGATTACTATCCATCATTCCACCGTAAGACACTTTTTCAGTCCGATCGCGAGACATAAGCAGAACGTATGATTTGAGGTCAATGTTCATATCGGGACTTACATGCAAAATGATGTGTTATTATCTTTTAATCATTTTTTTAACGCAAAATGTATCATCATTGAGCGTTCCGGATTAAGGTAAATTCAGAAATACGTCTCAGACTTACCAAATTTATAGTGTGTTATTTTCATTTCTAGCACAAGTATACATTCTTTACAACAACGGATTCCATTTAATTTGGGAGTTAACTTTTAAAATTTTCTTGAATTGCCATGTTGCATAGTTTTACAAATCGGTACCGATGAAAAGCAGTGAAAGAAATTGATATCAACCCGCAGTATGCAGGAGTTGAACTTGATACGACGGTACTATTAAAGGAAAAGGTATTTTTGTTCACAGTGATCAATTGGCAGTGTTCTTGAATGATAATGTTGAAAAACAAGTGTCCTTACTCTGGGCGATTTAGAGGATTACATAGTTTATACACACTTGTTTTATGTTTAAGATCTTTGTTGAATCCTGAATGTCTTGATTTATTGTAATGTTCGATTTATGTCTCATTGAAGTTGACTGCAAACCGTTCTTCAATCACTTAAAAAAGTGAAAAAAAATAATTGATAAACTTAGTAAAGTAGAAAGAGAGAGAGTTCGCAACAAAAAGGACTTTAAAAAAAGGCTAATGTGGTCTATACTTCATCTATCGATAGCTTAATTTTGAAATAGTTCCATTAATCCAGCGCTTCTACTAGATGAATATTTCAGAAAATACTATTCTGAATCCCACACGTCAAAAAAAGTCAATCTTTGAACAATATACGGTCATTTCTTAACACCAATAAATTTCCATGACTGAACGCTATTTAAATAGATCCCATTACGAATTCATTTGCTACAGAAAACTTCTGCCTTGTGACATTTCATATCGTGTGATACTATTTAAAATCTACTTCTACATCCGTCTCAGAAAATTTGTAAAATATATAACAATTAATTTCACATTGATAATGGCAAGAAATATGGAATTTCTTTTCATTACGGGTTCGTTACCTAATCTTTCAAATTAATCCTTCTTTCACTCATACAGTTCTTATTTAGTCGCTTACAATCAATGATGGTATGACATTACATTTAAGTAGCATTTGATGTCCAACATAGACAATCAATGGGGTTTGTAATTTCTTTTGAGAGATCAAAAGATAATGAAATTCAATTCGTTTCAAAGTAACATTAATTCTCAAGCGTTAACGGACGTTTTCTATGAAATAAGGTTGGTTAACCCATTCGTTCCTTCAATATTATATCGAACGATTTATCAGTTATAGTTTATTAATGGACAATTCATCTTTCTATGTCAAAAGTTTAACATGAGATTTTATAATCAAACTTCTAGATTAATGTTTGAACATCTGTAATTTTGGCATTTCGGGTATAAACATATGTAATGTTGGCACTTCGGATATCGTTTCTAATTTGCATCTTTAACCTCGTCACATTCATTATAGGCCTGACACAAATCAGAGGTTTGTAATTTTGTGGTTGTCGTTGGTTAATGTCTGTCTTGTTTTTATCATTGTTGTTAAAGCATAACGCAGGTCATTTGTTTTCTCTTTTGAATTGTTTCACATTTTGTCTTGTCGGGACCTTTTAAAGCTTACAATACGATATGGTGTTTGCTCATTATTGAAGCCCTACAGTAGTTTACATCCTCGTCCTTTGGTCTTTGGTGGATAATTATCTCATTGGCAATCATACCCCACACCGTCTTTTTATTTTATATACCACACATTATTATCAATGTGTTGTAACGGAACTGTAGAGGTCAGTGACGATTTTAAATAAGGATCATTTCATTAATTAGTATTAATTATTGCTATTTTTTCACCATCCATAAAAAAATAATAATAATGTTGAGTCATTCCTCTGGATCATTTATACGCCTGACTTTAATTTTAGTTTCCATATATTGTTGGTGTACTGTTACAGTACCGTTTATAATTATTTACTTCTTATATTGATAAATAAATATTGAACTCCAACGAAAATTCAAAACGGAAGGTCCCTTATTAAATGACAAAATCAAAAGCTTAAACACACCAACCGAATGGAAAACAACTGTCATACTCCTGACTTGGTACAGACATTTCCTTATGTAGTAAATGGTGGATTGACCATGGTTTTATGGCTAGTTAAATCTCTTACTTGTATGACAGTGGCATAAAGGTTATTTCAATATATATAACATTTTCCAGAAATGAAATAAACCTATTTATAAATATCATTCTTTCGCTACCATTTGACCTCACCTTTTTACAAAAAGTAATATCCTGTTTCGTCTTTGAGTTTAAAGTGGTCCACATTCAATTAAGGAAAAGCGACGAAAGAGAAAATGTCAACACCAGTACTTGTTGCTTTGAGCATTTTTAAATTAGCTTCAGGAAACTAAGTTTGTATAATGGATTTGGTTCATAGAAGTACTAGCAGCTGCACTCTCTTCTAATCAAGGATATTTTAAAATGCCATGGAATAGGTGAAAGTCAGTGCAATGGCTATATTTTTTATATTTGTCACAAAGTTGCATCAGTCAATTTGCAATCTTTATGGATTTGTTATAGAAGTATTGTACAAGTTACAGGTAATTTTTGTGATGGATACTGCTTTTTTCTTTGGTTTTTGGGATGAAGACTGTAAAGTTTGTTGGCAATCAATGTTAAATCAAATTAAGAAAAATGTAGTCTTTTAATTGCTGCTGTAACCGTGACCTTTCAAAAAATAACCACAACAAATGTATGTTTGCAATGCAATGTGCATTGTCCACCAAAAATTGGAAAGTTTTTATTTACGGATCAAAAGATGTTGTCACAAAACAGTCTATGTATAAGTACTTTGACCTACTGACCCATGTAGAAAAAGATAATGTGTTATTTTCCATGGGCGTTTTCAGTCATTTGAGATATGATTCAAAAGATGTCATACGGGAAGTATTTTTTGTCACAGTTTCAGTATATCAATCGCTACTGTGATATTTAAATTAGTAACCTAAAAACTAATGCTGGTCTTTTTCATCTCAAGGCGCATTATCAACCAAAGATTTGTAAAGACCTTATTTATATCTCAAAATTTTATATTAAGAAACGAAACTTGTGCCAAAACTTTCTATTTATAGGAACTGTGACCTTGAACTAAACTTATCTCAAAATAAATTAGTAGGGTTCTTGTTTTTTCAAGGGATATTCTTAAACTTTGGTGGAGATTAGACTTATGATCAAAACGATATCATCCGGCACCAACATTGTACTCTTATTTCAGTCTATCAATTGTCGACCAATACCTTGACCTTTGATCTGATATCCTAAAAATCAATTAATTCTTTTCATTCCAAGAGACATTGTCAAACTAAGTTTTGTAAAATTGGGCACGTAATTCAAAAGATATATTCCATGCACTAAATTTTTGCCAGAACCATCTGATGATAATTGTTGTGATCTTTAATTTTTACTAGAATCAATAGAGGTCTTTGTTTGTTCATATGGTATTATTGAGTCCATAAATTTACAAAAGGCCAGTTATTTAGACAATATTTTATTCGAATAGGAAAGACGATAACAAGGGGTAAAAAAACAACATTAGTCGAAAACAAACTGACACCATCGGGGTCAAAAGAAAAAAAACCTGATGCTCTAGAAGGTTCAGAAGTTCCTGCTCAACTAAGTTACGTGTAGATAAACAAAACTATGAATCACGCTGGTCAATGTCTAACATTTAATGCTTCTACATTCAGTGCTATTATGTACAATTTTAATTACTAAAACATGTTTGGTTAGGTACGAAACAATGAGCTAATATCGTGTTAATTTGTCATAGTTAATTATCGCTTGAAAATCTCTATGGAAATAACAACAAGCGTCCAAACATACACCATCGAATGACAGGGTTTATGCCCATATAAAGATAAGTTACATTTTATGGCTTTTTGGGTCTGTAAAATAACGAAAAATAAACATCCTATCAAAAGCGTGAAGGTGGGATTTAGACAGTCACTGGAAAAGGGGTATTTTTGGGTAACAGTACAAATTTGGTCTTGCATTAGGTCATCTTAAAATTCCCCAAACAGCTTTTAAATGTGTTCTATTTTGGTGCATTAAGCGCATTCATAGCACAACCAGACAAATGCACTCTCAGCACAGTCGGTTGGGAGAACTCAATGAATTTCCCCCAATGAAAATAAGAATGCATTTTTTTTGGTGCTTGTATCGTATCAAAACATACTTACTATTTTGTTTTTACAATCTGTATTTGACCCACTAATTTGTCATTTCCAAAAAGTCAAACTATTGTAGTCAAATTTAAATATAAACGCCCATTTTCACTGATGAGTCTTTTGTAAACGAAACGCGCGTCTGGCGTACAACATTATAATCCTTGTATCTTTGATTAGTTTTTTCCCTTATAAACGTGGGAATGGTAGATATTTCACGTCAACATTCATGTATAAATTCAAAAGAACGACTATGTCAGATTTCGTCACCAATGACTTCACTATCAGATTTGAATTAGTACGTATGAAAAATATTAGATTTTTATATAAAGAACCCATGGTGCAATTGTGGATACGACATCAAGTCATGTACAAAACTTTGCACACGCGCATGCCAAATGGTCATTGTTGGCTCATTAATACACTAGTAAATAAATATTACGTCATTTTGATCTTTACATTATCAGAAAAGTCTGAGCT